CACGGCCCAGGTGTGTATCGACAAGGTAAGGGATGTTTGTTTCTTGGGTTATATCTTTAAATATGTGACCTCTGTATGCAGATATTTAATGGATGTCGAATCACAAGGATATTTTGGCATATTGAAGTAACGTCTATATTTAAATTAAATCGTTAAAATTTGCCTGCAAAATGCAAATTAAATTGAATGGCACTGTTTGCATCAATGTTATATAATCATGTAATAAACGCACAGCAACCAAATAAAATAATATTGCCCCACGTATCCACCAGGGATAAATTACCGAGAGATGGGCGCGTGAGAAATTTGCCACATGCATTCTCTTGATCGTGCAAATTGAAAGTTACCGTAAGAAGCAATGGTATTGTGCTTGTTCATTCAGCATACATGCATCAGCACTGTGGCATTGCATTTGCTGTTTTGCACCCATCAAATATCAGATGGAAAGGAAAAAACTTTGCCAAGCGCAAAAGCCACTGAAGAGACGTGCCGTAGCGGTTACTTCCGAGTATTCTGCTGATCGTGCAAATATTAAGCTCACTTATTATCTATGCACGTAAAAAAACATACCAGATAATGGTAATGGATGTGATTTTGTTATCGTCTTCCAAACACTGATCTTTACATGAATTGCGAGCGTGCATTTCCGTTGCCCTTCTGTTTACCGTGCAAATGTACACTGCACGTCAAAGACGGCAGTTCAGCTCACAAGGACACACCGCCAGCTACTGAATCACAAACACGCACGCGAATACCATTTCTAGATACATTTGAAAAAAAATACCCAAGGAAACTCATCCACTTGTGTCTGCCATGATGTATGATTGAAACATTCTCATAATTGGCATTCAATTATATATTTCATCCATTGAACTTCTACAATCATGTTGATATTTCTTCTCGCTGAAGGTCCTACAGGAATGATTGTAAATGTGGCAGTCTAGGATGTTCAATCACACTGCTCCTGCCCCACGGCAGCAACCATTGCAGCACAGGGACTACGGTTTTGCTCCGTGCATCCTCAGGTGTACCTATGTATCGGGCTGTGTGTGTTGAGTGGTTTCCCGTCCAGGGGAATTCCATATTGGATGAAACTTCACTTTGTGTCTCATTGGTTAGCATAGGAGCCAGACATCTGTCAGAGTGAATGTTATTAGCCACTCAGAAGCTGTCATGAATCGGCCGTACCCATACAGGCATACATCAGAAGTAATAACACAGCAAGTAATTCGCCACCAAGCGAAAGACACATCTCTGTGGCGATTGTGCCAGGCTAGGTGCTCTTTGAGACCGCGGAAGTTGCTAGCAGGATGTTATGGGACAGGCACACGTTATCGGCACATAAACAAGTGCGATGCGACGCATATATACACACACACATATAAAGTACCCCTGTGTGCGCTTTAACAGACCGTTGGCGAAAGTGCTGTTAGCGAGCACCTATTAAGGCTGGCAACTGTGCACGAGGATGTTGTGTGACCAGCACCACACCCGGCTGCCTTTGCCTCTCCAGTGCTGATGTGTTACACAAGTATAAATAGAGTCACACACATGTGGCTACCATTAGCTCCCCCCCCCCCCCCCCGGCACTTTAATATTGAACATCTGTTGCAGTACATGTCAGTGCAACAACAGGGAATGGTTTTATGACGGCAAGACCGGCAGACCAACACGAGCCTCAGTGACTCACTTTGGTCGTAGAACTTGGTCATAAAATGAGACCTGGATGTCAGACCTCGACTTCAGGCTTGTAATCTGTTGCAATCCCCCCAAAAAAGCCATACGAAGTGGAAGGAGACATCGCAGGCGCCAACAACGTTTTGTGGACAGCATCCTCACGGCAATTCTGGTGGATGTTGCACGGTGCGACTAAGTGACAATAAACTTGCCGTCGCAAGCGATAGCGTTAAGGGCCGCTCTCCAAAATCGACGTCAATTTGGAGATAATTCTGCTGTGGTAATTTGCTTTCGTTGATATATCTCTGCCCTTTTTTTAACGCAGCGATGAGCGAGTGCCTATTTCCCTGCTAACCGTCGTAGCTCTTGGTTGGGCGTTGCCCTCAATTGGCTTCTGTGCGAAGGAGGCATTCTCAGAAATGGAGACGATTATAACGTAACGATCGTCTTCCTGTTTACACTCACCAGCTTCACCAGCTTCCGTTGAACTGCTAATTTGTGGAACCACTGGCCGCGTTTAGCCAGCTACCGATATGCCCACGGCTTTGCCGAAAACATCCATGAATCTTTAACGAGGTTGGCCTACTTCAAAATCCGCTAAACCCTCCGCAATATCAAGCCAAAAAATAAGACACTAGCTGGGAGTGAGCAATTAATCCTTTTCAATGCTCCATACATTTTAAAATCACGAGAGTGTTTTTGGTGGTAAGTGCCGTAACATTTTAAAGTGCATTTCCAGAAGCCGGCTAGATTATCACTGTCACCCGTGTGCTGTCTGTGGTCATACTCTGTATGTAAAGGTTTATACTTTTTATCAGTAGTATAGCTCTACCGTGTTGGAGTACTGTAATGAAAGCTATGTAGGGCCCTGTAAATAATTTCTTTGTGAAACATAGGCCCTCATTATTATGTGGGAAGGGCCAGTGTTTTGCAAACAATTTATTTGGAGTTTGGTTTATTTAAATTCATGGTCGTAGCTGCGGTCTCTCATTTACAGAATGGCATATTCTAACAGAGATTGCCATTTAATGGCAATTACATTTACACATAGTTACTTTCTGCAGCGTATTCCTGTTAGCTTTGAGGCACATTCTTCAGAGCTTTTGGCATATTTTTTAATATACATTTGTGATTGTGGAATCGGTGTCGAAATGTTTGTTATTTATTTCATTTCACCGAGTCTTTAATTGTGTTCATAAGACAAGAATGGCTCCCTCTAATCGTGATCTTTTCTAAAATACTTTCAGCATTTACTCTCATTTGCACAAGTGTAAGATTACTACATTATTATCATCATCATATTTTTTCTCTCCAAATTCCATTCTATTTGGGCTATCAGGCAAATGTCATGAGACTAATTAACATGTTTCGGAACTATCACAGCGAGCAGTGCACCACCCTGTGTTCGAGAACAAGCCTGGAAGATGCACAAATAATTACAAAAAAATAAACAGTTCGTGGGCCCCTCTCTCCACATCAGTTATTATCCCGAGGCATATATTTTTTTAACTAACTCATTCAAACTTGCTAAAATACACATGACGATGGTACACGTGCGTTTTAAATTTGGGATAATGAATACTGAAACGGTTTCTTCGTGACAGAATAAGATAACAGTTTGGTGAGATGTCAAGAAAGTGACGTGGCCAACATTACTTTTTTGGAAGCTAATATTCCCACTGAGGCATGGATTTCAGAATACGTAAATACATTCAGCATCATGTTTCAATCTGCTGCACTTTAATTAAATATTGTACCCCAAGAGCTCGTGGTGATTGCCCGTCCACTCTCTATAACCATGTGAAGGAAGTGCTGTTGCCATCATCAGCTGTGAATGTACTGAGTGGGAAAATAAATTCATAATAAAGGTTTTTGGGTTAGATCGCGTTTATTTTTTTTGTTTATTTTTTTTGCTGATTGGCCGTGTCGGGTGGTGGAGGGTTACGACACATTTATAAATAAACGCGATCTAACCCAAAAACCATTATTATGAATAATATTGGTCGCCAAAGCCTACATGTTAAACTGGGAAAATAAATGTTCGTGAAATTGTTTTCTGTCTCACCTCTGCCCTCGTTACATTGAAGTGCGAAGTATTACGACGATAGGTCCTGGCGGGAGCTCGATGTGTTCGTGATGAATCTTGAAAAGCTCCGACAAACATATGTCAACGGTGCATCTGTGGAGACGCAGACTGACAGCCAAATGTATAAGGGTGTCTAAACATGAATTATGTCCTTCTTTAGTTTTCCTCTCATTGCCTCAGTACCTGTGCATAATATATGGAATTTAGTTGGAAGCAATTACAGTGAACGCTAAGGTGGCGTCTTGCCAGTATCGGTTTACTTAAATGTCAAGAAAAACTCATAAATTAAAAAAATTGTCCAGTTTGACTGGCAATCATATCCGTTCATGGACACGTATTTTATAGCGCGTATCGGTTATTTGATTACATTAAAAGTGTAATTTAGATCCATGGGGAGGGAGTTATTTCTTTAGTGTGTGAATTTCGATTTCTTACAACTTGGATCTCGGAAGAATTCTCAACACACAGCGAAAACAGAGTACCTGCATGACATACAGTAGTTTAAATCTCATTGTCTCTTTAAGATGCAATGTGGTGTATATTTCTACAAGCATGGGTTTCAACCATGTCGAAGTATTTTGTCCGTTATAAAATGTTACTGTGCCTTTCAGTCAAATAACTCTAACGATGTGTTACGTTTTATGAAGCACAATAGGCTTTCCATTTACATTCAAACTTAAAGATTTACATTGAGAGTGCGACCATTCACAAAATCGGCAAAATCGTTGCTCATTTACAAATAACGGCACGTGTGCATGCTCACACAAGTCGAGTGTAAAGGTCAAATTTCGGTCATCACACGTGATTGCAAAATCATTTCATCACTGCCACTGGCCTACCTCGCTCAAATAAGCATCTTCATCCGTGTGTGTGTGTGTGTGCTGTTTGCTGTGTCCACAGATATCGGGAGGGGTAGTGTAGCGGTTAGTGCTCTGCGCTACAAACCTGGCGGCCCGAGTTTGATTCCCACTCACGGCCAACACCCAGTGACGATTATCTGAAGCAGTCCGGGGCCTCCCCTAAGTGGACTCAGCCTAAACTAATTACCTGGTGCGGTGTGTAAACATTGCCACTAGGGAGACAAAGGCGGCCGGGCGTGGTGTTGGCCACCTACCCCGTCGTGCGCCATGCCGGCCTTCATAGGTGCTGCTCGCTAACTGAACTCGCCCCAACGGTCTGTTGAAGGCTACACGGGGGGGATCTTTATCTTTGTGTGTGTGTTTTTTTGTGCCCACAGTGAATTGTGTGCAGGAAGGGAATGTATACAGCGACAAGGACATCTGGAAACCGGAGGCCTGCACCATCTGCGTGTGTGACAGTGGTAACATCCTGTGCGATGACATCGTCTGCGTCGAGGACGTGGAGAATTGCCCCAACCCGGAGATCCCTGATGGAGAGTGCTGCCCCATCTGCCCCACAGATATCCCAGGTAGGCGCCACGTTAATCATGGACGTCTGTGCTACACGTGTACGTGTGTGTGTGCGTGTGCATGTGTGTGCGTTGTCTGCACGTGGGGAGCGATAGTGTAGCGGTTAGCGCTACGCTGCGCTATGAACCTGGCGACCCGGGTTCGATTCCCGCTCACGGTACAACACCAGTGACGATTATCTGAACCGGTCCCGGGCCTCCCCTAGGTCGACTCAGCCTCAAATGAGAGTACCTGGTGCGGTGTGTAAACATCGCCACTGGGGAGACAAAGGCGGTCGGGCGTGGTGTTGGCCACCCACCCCCTCGTGCACCGTTCCGGCCTTCATAGGTGCTCGCTAACAGCACTTACCCCTACAGTCTGTTGCAGGCTATATGGAGGATCTTTGTCTTTGTAACTAGTTCCTGATGCAAACATTGGCACCGGGGAGACAAAGGTGGCCGAGTGTTGTGCTGGGCACCCCACCCATTAATGTGTTGTGCTGGCCTTCATAGGTTCTCACTTAAAGCAATTACCCCCAATAGTTAATGTGGGCTACACGGGGGATCTTTGTTTATATTTGACGTTGTTCTACAGTGTGCTTACCACATGCTTCCCATTCGCTTGGGGTTTAACATACAGGCCATTACAGACATGCTCTAATAACCATTGAATACAATTATAATAATTAGGCACTTCTTTGCGGTGGATTCAGTTATTGTCAAGCTGGTCTTTTAATGAACGTATTATTACAATGAAGATTTGTCTCTAAACACCTCTCATTAGAGGCCTCCTCTTAAAAGTGTTTTTTTTTTATTCGGTGTGCAACTGATGACTGTAGTAGTTTGAAGCACAAACTGTTGCTTTCAAAAACAGGGTCCTTTTCGAGGGACTACAAGCGCAGGACAAATATAACTGGAACGTTTTCTCTCGTTGTGCTCCTTCCCTTATGCTGCTGCTCCAGTCTCAGCATCGTCACAGCGTTTTCACTCGCACAATAGAGGGCCCCCATATAATGGGCGTCTGGGTGGTGGAATAAGGGGAGTGGGGCTCCAAGTGGCATTCTGTCTGGGCCTCCAGGGACCTCTGAGTGGCCTTGCATCCTAAGTGATGCATGTAAGCACATCAACGAACAGTATTTTTAGGCATTTAATTTGAACTATGGTAGAGCAGTGAGAGAAAATGATCGTTTTTTGTTGTCGTTGCTTCTAAAGAATATATCATAAGATTATTTTGGAGTGCCATTCGTTCGATGGTTCTCTTTAAAACGTCAGGGGACCTGATGCCTTCAGAAGTGTTGTACTCGGTTAAATCGTAATATAGACGAGAGCAATAGCAAACTAAGTACCACCAGTGAGTGCACGCTTGGCATGTGCTGCAGAAGCAAAGAGTAGTAACGCCGATGTCAACAGAGCGTATCTATTAAAAACGTCCCCTTGCTCAAGAGGCAATTCAACAACCTGGAAAGAACGCTGCGCGCAAACTATGCGCACGAATGGCAATTTCACCTTGAAATTCAAAAGCATGCTGGAATTCCTGTAATGGTTGACTGTTAATGATGCCTTTTATGTAAATGTATTGCAAGTGGAAGTAAGATGGACCCCTTGGCTCCATACGCCAGAGATGTGTTTAAACAATGAGCGTTGTCTGCACGTTTGTTATGGTTTTACGACCCGGTCCGCTTGTGAATATTCACTTTCATAGTGGCATGGAAATGCCTCGCTGGCAAACGTGCACGTGGACGATACTGCGACAGGGAATATAATTTGTAAAACAAAAACGTTGGGTCATAAAACCGGTGGGCACCTTGTACGATTACATGTATTCTTGTACGTTGAAGGAGGCGCCCTTAAAGTTTGTGTGTAAAGCTGAGTTGCGTGCGAAGAGCTATTTCTGACTTGGTGCGCTCAAGGGAAGTAGCATTGAATCAGCGGTTTGGAGAGCGGATGGCTCTTGGAGATATGGAACTTGTCTCGCACGAGCGACACGGACGGACGAGCGTTTGGAGGTGGTGGTGGGGTTGGGTGAGGGGTCTGGGGTGAGATTTGTGTTGTTGTTGTGGTGCCTGCACGGCGCACAGCAAAACACTCGAGCTACTTACTGTCCAGGCTGCTTTTCCAGGCAGCCTCACGTCTCGTGTCCCCGTGATTAGCGTACTCCCGACTTCAACGTCAATCAGCGCGGCTTTTCGGTGATCTGAACTTTGCTGGAAAGATTTCGGTTTGTGATTGCATTGCTGCGATCGTTCGCCAGCTCTAAAGATTTTGAATCAAGGCGTCGCAGGACGGCTAAGGTTTTCAACAAATGTGCATTCTGTTAAATTCAGAAGTTCACACTCTGTGAAGACGTTATGATTCAAGGAATGTGGGTAGTTATATTTGGCTGATATGTAGTTCAGATTTAGCATGCCCCATTGTACGATATGTACTCAATTAAAATCTTCATCATCACCACTACACATTTCGCCATTTGTTTCCACTTCCCTCTGTCTTCTTGGTGAATCTTATGTGTGTGGCGTTTAACCACGGTGATCAGAGACAACATTTACATCCACTCCAGAGTGCAGAGGAATTCTGCTCATTCAGGTTACTCCAGGCTCTCACGTGTGCTTTTATTACATGCTCAGCACAAACACCGTGTAACGTATTTGTGAAATTGCTTTGCATGCAAGCTCATCTCGCAGTAGAGGTTACTCTGACAAATACGTGCTATTTACTTGCAACAATTTTCAAATAGGGTCTTTTCACGCGTAATTTATACCTTCACCTAATTCTTCCTCTAGCTGCATATTACACCTTGTTTAGTTATTCGTGTATGTGTGTTAATGCTTTTTGCTGTATGATGGTTGTTTGTAACTGACGCGTAAAACATGTCAGGTGTGCTGAGACAACTTGAGAATCTACTCCAGATAGGGATAAGGCTACCTCAGGTCCTGGTTTAGCTGAGACAGTCACAGTGATTTCTTAAAGTCTGTACAAGGTGTCGCGAAGCTTTTGTTAAAACTAGGATTTCGTCACAGCTTTATGTTCATGATACAGGCAAAGGGCAGGGCTACTACCTGGCAGAGGGGTTAGACGTGGCCAATTAGAAGTGGGCAGGGTCAATGTCACAAAGCACCAATCAGCTCACTGTGGGTGGGGCTAGTGGCTGAGTGGGCATGGCAATGTAAAAGGGGGCAGGGCTGAGAGAGAGAGAGAGGGGCCCCTGTTAATTCTGACCACATGTGTCCACATGTTGATCCTCCCAGAGAAACGTGGTGATCTTTAAGATGGGGATAAAATCGATCTCGCAGCGAAATATTCCACGTGAAATCAAACGACCTGCTGGAATAACAGCTCTCCTGCACGAGAGAAAACCCTGGCTGATCGCTGCCACGTGGGTCATCTCGGATTGCTGAGCAGCTTCGGAGACTGGGATTGAGTCGAGCACTTTGCTGAGATCTTTGAGGTCTGGGAGAGCACACTACCTGTTACCATAGAGACGCACGGTGCCACCCCCCCCCCCCCCTCTCGTCCAGTGGGTTTGAGATCGGCAGACATACATGCCGAGACTGTGGAGACCTCTAACCCTTGTCCTGAAATCAGCTCACACTTTTTTATATGTATAAAAGAATGCATTTCTAACTGGTTGTTTGTTTTGTTTTGTTTCTAGAGCCGTCACCCACGTCTGCTGTAAGTGCTATTTATTCAAGTTTTTGGTTTGCTCTCTTACATCAAATATTCCCTTTCGCTGAGTGAACGCTGAATAATTACCAATGCCTCCCTTAAAATCATCCATTATCGCTCCGCTGCTGAACGAAGGCCTTCCCCAACATGTGATCATTTTCTCCCGTTCTCGTGATGCTCCTTTGGCTGCCACTCTCTCATTATTCTTGACCACAGTCCACCATCTAGCAAGGTGTAACTGGGCATGAGCCCACTTACCGTACTTTCTGTAACTCAAAATAATGCCTATTAACTTGCATATGTTCTCTGCGGTCCATTCGTTACTCTTCCCGTCACTGTGATTCCAAGCGCAATCTTCTCCTTCGTTCTTTGTGCGATTATATTTTTATTCCACTTTTTCCTTTTGCCAATGTCCCGTCTTTCTGGTCCATATGTCATAGCGGGCAATTATGCAAACTTGTTTAAACACGCTCCAACTCGCTCGGGTCCGTCTCTTTACTCCATCATCTTGATCCTGGTCTGTCCTCAGCGTTGCATAGCTAATACATAACAAATGAATTGGTGCTTTTAGCCTGTGTCTTTTGGTATCTAACCTGTGCATTATGTTTTGCTGTTGCAGGTAATAAAGCCCTCAATTACGAATGGTCCCATTGGCCCCAAGGTAAGTTTTGGTTTCTTTGCCAGTATTGCCACCTCTTTAAAGTGCAAAAAATTGCCAAACAAACCTTAAAACGCCACTCTCTGTCTTGAGATCGCCCTTCGAGAAGAGTACTCAAAAACGTCACCAAATGACACTTTACCAAGTAAACTGATACAGGGTCCTTATATACACACACACACGCACCTGGAATTGCTCCTACATTGGAATAATGTCCTTTACTCAGAAAGTCATGAGATTTTGTTCTCAGTTGCTTTGACAAAATGTCATCACTTGAGAATCCCAAAAAGTCACAAGACCCAACGACAAAAAACACGAAATTGTTTTCTGGAAAAGGTACGCAACTCGCTGCTATCATAGTTTAGCGTCGTCTATCCACGATGACTTCTCCCTTGCAGTGGAAATGCATTGTGACACTTTCCAGGGTTCCGATTCACTTGTTTATTTTTGTCAAATAGGCACCGTTTATGCGAGTGAAAGTTTTTTTTTTGGAAAATCGGGAGGTTGAATTCAAATGTGCACATCCTAAAAAAAGAACCTTATCCAACCTGTAAACGGAATATAAATGCGTGCCCTTTATCTTCAAATGTTATGCATTTTGGATGCAGCGAACACATTAATTTTAAAATTAGCAACACATGATAGAATATATCCATAATACAGGCTTTTTTGGGGTTAGATCACAATGTGACCCAAATTTAATTGTTCTAACCCAAAAAAAACTGTATTATGGATGATATTGGTCGTGAAATCCAACGTGTTAAACATAATCTGTCCAATTGCGGGCAGGAAGAAACTTAAAAAAAACAATGAGGAGATCACAGCACAGGGCAGCAGTGGCAGGTGATTATGATAAATCATTTCACGTTGGGAAAATATAAGTTACTCAACATGTATGAATACACTTTTTTTCTCTAGAAGTTAGCCGAATTATCCTACTTCCTGTTGGAAACCCGATGAGTAATGATGTGTCCAGAATGTGGCCTGTGGGAGGTAGGTGGTGGGTGAAATGTCCCTCTTTCAGCTGTTGCAAAAGCATTTCGAGCTTGGAGTGAAAGCCGCATTTTCGCATATGTCACGTGATATGAAGCAGCGCTTGAACCATATCTGCTGCTCATTTTTCCACTTTATATTGGGCTGAGTGTCATACCATACTGAAGTCTGAATCGTGTTTTTTTATATATATAACGTTATGTATTTTATAATATAATACGGTAAAGGTAAAAGTGCAGCCCTACAATTGTTTGCTAATGCCACTACTGGCGGACGGCCTCCACTAGAAGGAGCTCTAGAAAGCCCCCCTGGAGGGAATTTGGCCTACTCTTCCACACTGAATGCAGTATTTTAAATTTCACCGACCATTCCAGGTGACTTAGTGCACTGACACATCCCGAATGCTTTGATGGAAAGGCGCTGTCATGGGCAGATGTGTTATCTCTTCTGCTTCTGCAGGGCACGAAAGGAGATCCTGGCCCAAAAGGATCCAATGGGCTGAACGGAGATCCGGTACGCTGTCCCACAGGGCTCACAGAGAGCAGTACAACCACGGTGGAAGCTGGCAGACCCAGACAAATGTGCACAAAGTAGGCGCACAATTATGCATCAGGGCCCTTTTTTCGATTGTTTTCTTAAAACACTCGTCATGACACGTTCATGGACTTGTTTCAAGGTTTACTTTGTTAAACCTGGTGAGAACCCAAGAGACCAGGATAGCCTCAATTGTAAGAGTGTGAGGATCAGTTGTTTATTGAGTTATGCAAAATATATGCACATAATATGGCAACGTCATGATTATGCTAATAGTATGAACAAAACTCAACACACATTGAGAGAAAAAGCCACACTAATATTGAAGCAGTAAAAATTTGACAGTTGATTGATTCTTGAATGTAATCACAAACTTGGATCATGGGAAAGTAAATTGTTGCTTACCTGAGAAAATGTGAAATGGAAGGAACATTCGAAATGGTTAGATTTATTTAGATTTTAAAACAAATATATACGCGAGGTTTATTTAGATAATAAAGGCCATGTTGTGAATAATATTGCGGAAATATGCTGGGAGGAGAGAAATACTGTGAACAAAAAGAGCCCATGCTTAAAATTCTGAGACATTTTCTTTGATTTGTGAAAGAAAAAAATGGATTGTCCACAAAAAGTATTCAAAATATTCAGGTTCATCTTTTTTTTTACACTTGTGCAGAATGCACCTTTGAATGCACAATATCTTGGCAAGAGTAATTGCTTCTCAGCTGTACCATTCCTCAGGTACAGCTTTAGATGGTGGCCCAGAACAAATCTGCTATACTCACGTCAGAAAAAAACGCCCTGGAATTTCTTACCGATCGTTTTATATTTATTTATGTAATACATATTTCCGTGCCATTTTACTTCTCAAGCAAATGCAGCACACAAAGCATTCTTTATGAAGCACCCATCAGCCATCACATTTACGTCCCTCTCAAACGACACATGCCACATCACTTTCACCTGGTCGAACGTACTTTATTTTATTTTTTGAATAAAAAAAAAAGGTCCAACCGTTATTTATTTTGCTACTCTGCAGAGGCAAAAGAGCACTCTCATTATGTCCACTAACCTACGTGTATTGGAAAGTTGGCGGCGCGGACCGAGTGGAGACGGTTACTGGAGCCGCAGTGCTCACGCTGAGCGGTGGCTGTGCTGCCGTCCTGCAGGGCTCCTCGGGTATCCCCGGGACCCCCGGCAAGCCTGGCAACAACGGCCCCCGGGGACCGGCAGGGCCCCCTGGACCCCCTGGCCCATCCGCCCCCACCCGCTTTGGAAATGTAAGACCATTGGGGGTACATTTCTGCTCCCCCCCCCCCCCTCCAACATCGAAGGTTAATTAAATAATGCGGCACATGCCGATAATTATGATTAGATGACGATACGTTTTTTTTTGTATTGCTTGCTATAATTATCTAGGAGCTGTTAACCATCAAAATGCTACCCATTACAAATTTTCCCTTACTCATGATTTAGAATTATTCCAGTGTATATCGCTGGTAACGATACATATGACGATGCGCTTCATAGAGTGGTAACAATTCAGCGTTATGCCTCAGGTATTTGCTGTGCACGCGAATGCATGTACACGTGTGCGCGCGCATGCGTGTGTGCGTTCACATGTGTGCCCCTGTGCATTGCAGCAAGCCCAAATGGCAGGAGGATTCGACGAGAAGTCAGGACAATCCATGATGGGAATGGGAATGACTGTTCCGGTGAGCCAATGCCCTCCCCCCATCCCCCCTGCCCCCTCCACCCCCCCCCCCCCCCCCCCCCGAGCTACCATTCGTTTACAGGATTTCCAGTGGACTCCGTTCCCAAGTGTATGTCTAATGAAGGCACCAGCAAAGGTCGTCAGCGAACAAGAGTGGCAGAGCATGCTGCCTTCCTCCCGCTACGTCTCTGAAACTTAACACATCGCAAAGGCCACAGCACATATTCCTTAATTGGGTTGTTACATCCCTGTACAATTCTATAATCTGACATGTAAGCGGCAATGCAATGAGCAACAATAAGCTCAAGAAGACAATGCAACGTGTAATATATGAATTGATTTCCTGGATTTAATGCCTTGAGGTCAGAGGTGGTTCGCAAAAGTTGTCACATTGACACTTCATGAATGGCTCTCGGTGCAATGGATGTGAGTGTGGCCCTTAATTTCCGTATACATTTGGCCGGTCGTTGCTTTCATGGCTGACAACGGTGCTCCGTGAGCAGAATATTTTGCCCCACATATAGTTTTGTCAAAAACTTTACTTAGGCATGTGAAATGGTGCACGTCTGCTTACAATATGTCATCTTAACGCAATTCCTGTAGCACCTTGACCATGTTGCTTTACAGAGATAAAAAAAAATGGTACATATGAATGTAACGGTGCAAATGAGTCAAATAAAATATGTGCATATATGTAAATGTGTTTCGTCGACTTGTGATTTATACGAATTGTTTTCAAACGAAAATTTCGCCTACTTGTAATGCTCGAGGCTGTGAAAAAGAAGAAGTGTGATCTGCTCGCCATTGAACGCTTTTCTAAATTCTTTTGTCATCTTCTCGTCGCACAGGGCCCCAGTGGACCTCCGGGTCCTCATGGACTGCCAGGCTCTGCAGTAAGCACACTTTGTACTTGTCGTCACTGTGGCCAGTAGAATTAAGCAGAAGCACACTAATGTCAGTTACCAAAAGAATGTTTTTTTTTTTTTAAATCAGCCGACCTAACTGACCATCACTAAATTTAAGCTGTGCAGTATTTCAATGGCTCCCGCAGCTTTACATTGAAGGTTAAAAAAAGGCTTTGATGTACAACATTGTTTTGTCGAGATGGCAAGACAAAGGTTTTGAATTCACGAAAATCTGACAGGGTTAAGCATTCCTTCAAGAGATTAAACACAATATTTTTTAAATAAACATCAGTGCTTCTGTATGTTTGTATTGAGCCTGTGCGTCCTCACACGCGGTTAGTACAGAGCGTTTGAGTGATTCGCCACTTAAGTAGCACGTGGTTAAAAGCATCAATCCTTTCGTCTGGAAAAGTGATGCCAACTTCTGCGATGAGAATGATGGTTGGAAAGAAGAAAGAGGCTTTTGATAAATAATCCCGACAAAATAACATCCTCACTAGTGATCAGCACTTACGCCTGCAGCCCATGGGACAGCACATGTGTGAATGATTCACCGCTGCATTTGAGTTCATCTCGGGATTTCCTTGAGTGGTGAGGACTTCTGGCTCCCCCGTTTCTCAATCACGCCACCTTTGCCTCTGGCTAATAACGAGCGTTACTTTGGCGCCGTTTTGTCGTGAATGGGGGTGGGAGGGTGAAATAGAATGCACGTCGGACTACCTTTGACACCTCAGGGCTTAAAAATAATATCACGGCAGGTGCCCATTATGGGCCGAATGTGCCTTAGGGAGCCCCACAGCTGCAGGTGACAGGCAAGGGGGAACCTACGGGTGCATGGCATGAGGGGAAGTGGTTAGCACTTCTCTGTGCCTTAAACGAGCCATATGATTATGAGTGTTGCTCCATTGCTGATCATGTTCACGAAATCTGATGAGAGGGTACAGTGCTAAATGTTCACCTTGTTGGTTATTGTATGAGGAATTGTAAAAGGGGCTTTTAGCAGCTTCGTGTTGTTGTTGTAACTCCAAATCATCTTAGGAAATAAATTACTACGAAAAAATTAAAATTTGTCTTATGAGATTGAGGATAATGAGACCTTATTAGGTAGTATTTTTGCTCTATTAACCCATTACTGATTTGTCTCTGCTGGCATTTTAGCTGAAATACTCTAGGCTGTATCTAAATATGGTTATTCAAGATGTAGTAAACTGTGTCATAGAGCTTTCTTGGCTCACTTCCTGTGTCACGTTTCACGCATGTCTCTGATAAGTCCTCGTTCCTCTGACAGGGTCCTCCTGGTCCTTATGGTTTACAAGGCATCCGTGGAGAGCAAGGATCTCCGGTATATACGCACGCACTCCCATACGCAACCACACGTGCACCAATATTCACCACAGCTCATCGGCATCGAAGTTCATTATTGCGACTGCACAACGGGCCTGTCTCAACTATATCCACAGAAAAATGTGTCCAAAATCCCCCTGACTTATGGTTTTTGGCAGAGTACCAATTTGAATTCAACAAAACGTAACGCATGCTCACAACAGATTGAATTTGCAGTGAACAGTTTTTAATCCTGTTCGTGCTGTATTTCATCAGGCCACGAAGAATATCATCCATGCTAAGGATAATTCATTTAAATTTTTGCAAGAAGTGTTTTTTTTACAGTGCCCAACTACTTAGACACAACACGTCAAGTACAATGTGTTCCAATACATTCCTTAAAACACACTTTTTATTGTAAAAATAAAATAGATTAACGTTAATTATGTTTTAAGTCAGATTACCCAAATTAGTAGTATACAGTTACAACTTTGAATAAAAAAGGTGCAATACCTATACCTGTTGGAGGTGGCTAAGCCCTTAAAACAGTTTCCGCTAAAGCCATTTTGTTTGTGCCCCCCCCCTCCGTTATAAAATGTTTACACCACAGTAAGTCTTATGGTAAATAAGTTGTGGTGGGGCATAGTGTGGGTACCTGCACATTTTACAATCCATCTGGTCAGTGTGAAAACATTGCTGAAATGTCATTGGAGTTAAAGTGTTTGTGTATCGAGTAGCACGGGGCCTTGCGTTTGTGGTGTCGACGCTTTTATGGATCAAAACGTACCCCTCGTGACAAGGCCTTAATTTCAAACAAAACATCAATCCGGTACGGGATTTGGCCAGTCTTTTCAGAGGAGAACTGATGACCGTGCAAGGCAGGGAGGGGGGCTTTGTCAATGTTGCTTGGAATTTCAGATGAGGGAATTGGGCTTTGATGCGGTGCTGACACTGGGAAGTTTTCTGCTGTGATTGGTGATGGTCCTGTGTCTTCAGTGTCATTGTAGCACCAGACAGTGTGGCTTGTAATGCACTCTGCTGCTGTCACCGGCAGTAGTAGTGTTTAAAATGTTGAACCCTATAAGACGGGGATATTCAGTGTTATGATTACATTTCATTCAGCCTGTTGATGAAGGTCAAAATTAATACATGAATGAGTGGGTAAATGTTTACAAATATTAAAAAAATATGGTTGTGAATTAGTTATTGTCTGCCACTGCTGTTCCACGCCCCTGTTTGTGTTGTTGTTGTTGCCATTTTAAAGTGACGGTGCTCTTGGAGAGTCACTTTTTTACGACTGTGCAGTTTTATTGTCAAGCCTCATTAGACGGGTGAACTGCCAAATATGCCACTGCTCAGTCGCAAGAGACATCCGCCACACGATGGAATTTACTGTCGTGCCCAGGTGGAATCAGAAGCAACACGCTCGCTTGTCTGAAATATAATACTACTAAGTTAGTGTAAAATAAAATAAAAACTACATCAAGTAGGTGGCCCGCTTTCATGAGAGTACTGTAATTCTGGGAAATCTGCTGCGGCTCAAATAATCGACTTTATAAATGTGTACACTGTGCCACCGTGTAATTTAAAGTAATGATTCTCGCACATCGAGGCTGATCTTGTGGATTAATCAGTCTTTTGTTTGGGCTGACAAAAATAAAATGCCTGAGGTTTAGCATAAACTTGGAAGCATGGCTCAATATTGGATGTCCTCACTTGAACAGAAAATGAAAAGTACTTCCTGTGCACTTCTTTTTCAATTCGCCTTTCATTGTGTTTTATAAGAGGGGAGATGTGTGTGTGTGGTGTGCGTGCTGTGCGTGCTGTGTGTACGTCTAACACTTGTACTTTTCTTTGTTCTAGGGTCACATGGGTCCAACTGGTCCCCCAGGCCCCCCTGGGCATCCTGGAGATGATGTAAGATGCTTACAGCTTCTCGCAGTCCCTACACCACGATGATAAAATGAGACCTTTGTCAGTGACCTCCGCTTAACCCCCAGCTATAGCGTCCATGTGGTATACACTCAACTCATCGTTGTGCAGCACCAGATAAATACGATATTTAGCTGTGTGCTACAAAAAATGAAATTGTATGAATAACTACAGGTTACATACATAATTTATTGCACACTTTACGCTGTGTATTTTGAACATGCTAGTTGCTGTATTCACACATTTCATTTATAGTGTATATGTATTTAAAGTTTTTGTGCTACTTTGAATATGTGTATATAGTGTTTTCACTCTAATAAGGGATCCTGTTGGTATATGCCTCACCGGCATCCCAACTTGCTCCTTCACTCAGCCCCGTGTTAATGCCGGTTGAGTGATGTGCATTCGTTTAACGTAAACGCGAGGGGTTGGCGGTGCACCGATTCGCGCACTGCACTATGAACCCGGTGACCTGAGTTCGATTCTCTGCCACGGCTAACATCAGTGGCCCCTGGGTGGTATCGGAACCTGTCCCTGGGCCCCATTCTTCACCAACCCACACACTGTCTAGCGAAGGGAAGAAAGTTCAAACAACTGCCATGACCAATACCGGGCCACGGGGAGGGCTTCATCCCGCTGCGGATTGTCCACCAGCCGAAAATCCCTTAAGTCATTCGTGAACTGTAAAGTCCACCGTAACGAAGCCGTTGATTGCAATCATTATTCTGTTCATATTAGTGACGTGATAACCTGGTTTTTTTTTTACATAATAACAGAATATATAATAAGCAACGTTTCGGGCAGTGGTCCTTCTCCGCTGTGAGCGAGGGCCGAATGCGTTGAGGGTTTTGTTTTCTCTGCGTCCGAGCTCCACTGGCAGCGCGGTTTAACGAAACACGCCGCCACGTGCGCGCGTGCGTGCGTGTGCGCGTGCACGTGCGTGCGCGTGTGTACATTGTGAACATTCAGGCAAGAGGCGGACGTGCGTGTAGCCGGGCGATCGCGCGTTAACCCCCCGCACGTGTGCGCCCCTCCTCTCCCCGCCGTGTTGTTTCAGGGCAAGAACGGGAAGCCGGGCCGGCCAGGAGATCGTGGCGGACCGGGTGACATGGTTCGTCTCTCCCCCTCCGCTCACGCTGGCAATGCGATGATTGGTGGTAGTGCTGACCAATTAGAGCCCCCTGAGCAGAAATTATTTTTCGGAAACCCCGCCCCGCCCCGACCTCGCCCCGCCCCCACCCCGCCACACCACGCCCCAACCCCTCCCCTAAATCGATCAAATCCTGAGTGAGATGATGTAGACAATAGATGTGTAGATAAGAGTGCGTTAAGAGAAATATAGTCACAATTGGGGCAGTAGTGAGATAAGTGTGTGGACAAGAGAGATGACAGAGATTGAGACATGCTATGCTTTTTTGGAGGTTGTATTTGAGTTGCTATTTCGTGCACATCTATTTAATTTATGAATCTGGAGTCACCGGAGCTACTTGGGGCCCTAAGCTTGTACTTAGTTTGCATACGCCTCATGCTGCCGCTGGCGATCACATCTGGCAAAGATCACCCCTCGTGAAAATGGGGCTTTAAGGTGCCACTCAAGGTGGGTGAGGCAACAGATGTTCGGTTTTACCCGCACATTCAGATTTACTACCTTCTGCTGCAGATGAACCTTTAATTAAAGGCGAACCAACCACACCACAGCCCATTAGCGTGTGAACAAAAAAAAATAAGTAAATATAACATCATGAAGAGCAGAGAGAAGTACCTTGAGGTGACAGGGAAATGCATTTCCCAGGGTGATCAGCCACCACCCTGGTCATCCCAACTTGCTCCTTCACTCAGCCCTGTGTTTATGCTGTCTTGACGGATGTGCATTTGTAGGCTGCCTGTGGTTGAACTAGTTATTCAACAAAAATCCTTGTGTCACCCGTCCATTAGATTGCACGTCACGGCAATTTGAATGAGCTATTTGCCCCTTTTTACAGGCCAGCATAGTAACTTCAGATATTGATTGTCCACCAGTAGCGTATATATAAGGATGAGGAAAAAGTGTAACAAGGATTATAATTGCAGGGATGAGAGGTTAGTTTTGGTGGCAACGCCGTATTCAGTTCTGCGCAGATCACTCACTCAATACAATGCGCAGCCTAATACTACTTAATTAAATATAGCATTTTATTTAGCCGTATCTATATATGTGGGGAAGAGGAGGAATGTAAATACTTAAACAAATATAAAATACAATATAGTGCCTCACTGCCATTCACAAACTAAGTGCATAGACCCATTATCAGTTGTTCACGTTAGGTTTGCTGTTGCGGTGAAAGGATGTGGGTATGAAGCTAGCTTGAAAATGCTTCGTTAAAACTTGATTCAACCCACCCCCTGAATGTGATTCTGAAATTGAGTTCAGCCAATTGAAAAACCTTACGAAAGAAAATCCTGACAACATGTAAAACTGTGTGAACATTAGCCTGAATAGTTCTTGGACAATTCATTTCAGTGTCATGGGTTCAAACACTTGATGAACTGGTTAAAAATATAAATGTGGTTTATTTTTTGTAAGGGCCCAGGTTTTGGTGTGGAGGAGCTGCATGTACATCAGAGTGAACTGATTAAATATTTATTGTCAAGTCAGGTTTCAGTTGACATCCTTAAGCCACTGAGAGCCAAACGAAGGCCCTCTCTAACACAACACAGCTGCTGAGACGTAGGCACAGGGTATGTCAACCTCCCACCATCGTGTAGTTGCCCTGCATTGCCCCTTGCAGTACTCTACAACTCTTTGCGGTGGAGGTGTATTGCAGTGCTCCAGGGATGGATGAGAGTTTTGTTGCTGTGTCGGCTGGTGGTGTAGGGTCCTGGTGGAATGAACGGGAGCCCCGGAATGCACGGATCCAAGGGACACAGGGTAAGCGAGCCCACCGAGAGAGACGGTCACCACGCCCACCGCATCACCACCGGCAGTGCGTGACCCCGGGTGGACCCCTGCCATAAACACGCAGCAGCAGCAGGAGCAGCGAGACTCCCACCCATAAACACGCAGCAGCAACAGCAGCAGCGAGACGTCTCCCAAACGCTTTACACGCACACCTCGTGGGAACACGCAGAAGCGCTTGACTTCACCTAACACGTGTACAGCTCGGTCCTAAAACAACAACAAAATATAACAAGTTGTTATATAATAGAGCGGAAACGAAGTTCACAGAGTGAGCTTTTGTTGTTGTTGACCAAAATGCATTTTTTTATCTTTTACAAAGAAAATAATGTCACCCGTCTATTTTTAAAAACGGTGGTTAAAAAATTACAACACTGCTCTGTAAAGGTTTTAAGTAACTCTTGGTATGTCAAGAATATATATCAACATTATTTACATATACAGTATATTATTGTTCTAAATGCTACTTGATGTATTTGACTCACAGTAATTGATAATAATTGTAATAATTCAAGCGTATACATTTATAAATGCTTTAAGTTATTTCCCACTTAATTTTTGCACCCTTCAGTTCCTGCAAACTGTTTGATAAAATGAGTACGGATGGAGCACGGATAGATATATACTTTATTAGCATTTATACGATAATTGGAGAAAGTTTATGGTTGTGCCTGCTTGATTATGAATTACAATAGCATTCAATTTTTTGTTATTGCAGCAATGTTAATAACAATGCCGAATAAATTCTTCTGCCCAAAGGGATACAACGGGATTCCTGGAGCCAAGGGAGAATCTGGAGGGAATGGTCACCGGGTATGACTGCTGTCAGCTCCGAATGCACACACACACACCTCTCATCATAATGTATATCTTTCTAACCAACCAATCAGGCCCATCCTGCTTCTTAAATAGCATCACTGCCAAGAGAAACATGTACAGAGCTCTAATCGAGGTGGACGGTCCCTTGATTTTAAATTTTGTCACAATTGTTTAACCCCTTCTAATGCTCATCAACAAGATCGCATTGTGAAAATAGAAAGAAACGCACGTGAAAAGTTTGGTTATTATTGTGATGACGTTACACAGACATGCGGATCTTTCGGAAGGCATTGGTTAGCTCAGGATTCGACTGAAACCCTTAAAAACAATACAATTAAGCTCAGTGGGGTCTTTTACAAAGGGCTGCCCACAGTCACTTTATATCTAAAAATAGCACAACAATGTATAACTACTGCTACAATTAAATCACACAATTAAATCACAAATCATACAATTAAATCACAAAAAAATTAAAAGGGGTTGAAATTAATTCAAACTACAAAATATTCAAATTTTGGAAATATATAATAAATAAAAAAATAGTCTTCACACGTGGCTAGAAAACGTTCACTCACTCTGTCTTGATTGCATATTCAAATTGCACGGTGCCACCTGATATCGAAGGTGTACGCTATTTAACAACGCATACACGTAACATTCATTTTCACATTTAAGTTCTGATAGACTTTACAACACCCATGTAGACTCTACTGCTGTAGCTGTGAAGTGACTGCCGATTCCTCCGTCTCTTGCAGGGGGAGAGAGGTGCGGCTGGAAAGAACGGTTCCCCAGGCAACGTGGTAAGTGTTTATACGCCATTACTATTTGCATTGTTTTACATTATTTACCATTAAGTATTATTCAAGTGTATCACTGACACCCAAACAATGACTCCTACGAACAATAGCTATCCCACAGTGCTACGTGGTTGCTGAGGTGTGGACAATCACTACAGAGATATAAAAATATAATATTAGCAGCCGAGATGAGATGCCTTAGCAAATGACCACGGATACCACAAGCAGCCTACCACGCAAATGAATCGGTCCTCGTCAAAATCGTATAAAAGGTAGAAGAACACCTAGAGCCGCTGTTGCCATCAAATAAAACTCCAGTTGTTTGGACATGTGACAAGATAAGGGGGCAACTATCCAACACCGTCATCTTACAGGACATGACATGATTAAAAAGAAAAAGAGAGGATGACCCAACATCGACTGGATGACGAATGTGATACCAGGCAGTGACCAGCCAGCACGATACCTTGTGAAGGACAGGCGAATGCGAAGAAAGTCCATGGATGAGACATCACTGGCACCCCCATGATGGTTGAGATTTAAGGAAAGATAAAGAACTCATGATGATGATGATTATTATTATTCTTACGTCACATTTCTCCTACCTCTCTCCGTACCCCAGGGCCCCCAGGGATCAACTGGTGAGCGAGGACGTCCCGGAGGGTCTGGTCCTAGCGTGAGTGTCCGCACCCCGTCCTTGACACAGTCACTCACACACCTTCTGTCGGCCTCCTCACCACGAGCCATCCCCACACGTCCCGAGCGCACGTGGGGATCACTCACGTGCAGCCACAGTGCGAGCGATTTCCGGGATTCCAGTCTAAAGTAGCATCAATTATTCGCCTAGTACGAAAACGATTCTTAATGTTTTCCAGTGCGGCGTTTCCTCGGTGCGTTTGCCGTGAAACGTAGATTTGTTACTTTTAAGGGTGTGGGTCAATTTTAATGTTAGATGCAGGAATATGTTATATCAGGTAATACTGAATGCATAATAGGTGTGGGATTAAACATGTGGAATATTAGATGTAGGAAAAAGTACAAAGCAGGAACGTTATAATGTGGTTTCACTATATTTGATCAAAATTAAGAAGACGTAAATATTTTGTGTGGTTTTTGATACTTTTTTCACGAAAGAAGTACATTACATATTTATTTTCTACCCACCAAAATACACTTTCTAACCGTCATTCACTCAAACAGCACACTTCTGACAACAACAGAAATGAGAGTGTGAACCCGGTGACAGCCAAGGGGCACAATTAACCAAACGTGCTCTGAAATGCAACTCCTTCAAATATTCCTGTACGTTCACGCGCGACGGCACCTGTGCTTCTCGGGCGGCCGCTAAATGAGCCCGTCGAGTCTATGCACACGCGCCTGAATAAAAACCATCTTCGGCGTCGAACGATGGAATGGCATCTTGGATCGTTGTCGCCGGCAGCGTTGACGACGTTCACCGCGAGGCGAACTCCCGATGAAGCCCGGTTCACTCGTCGACCTCAACGCTAACACGCAGACGTCGCCCATTCACTCCCTGCCATGAGAAATAAAAAGAGGAAGAGGCATTCAACGTTCCAAAGCAATCATTTTGAGAGCATTGGTTCTAATGGTGTGTGTGTGTTTGTTTCCTGACTCAGGGTGCCCGTGGAAGCGATGGGCTGGTGGGGTCAAGGGGACCAGCTGTGAGTACCTGCCCGCATTGAAAGTTAGCACCTTGTGCTTCATCACGAATATGAACTGTTACACATTCATCATCATAATTATCGGCCATGGTCAATCCACTGCTGGATGATGACCGTGCCGCCCGTCGTATCTCATGGTTCTGCAATGTGATAATCCAGCTACCTGCACACGAGCTCATTTCATCGCTCCATCTCCACAGTGGGCCTCCTCTTGAATACTTTTTTTACGCATACCAAAAATGTATTTACAATCGTCAAACATCAAAGACACGAGGATGTCAAACGACGCAGACAAATCCGAGATTAAACGTCACGTGTTTTCGGTCGTTCGGCATCAGTGGGCTGTCGCGCGTGCCAACGAGAGAGAGAGAATAAAAAACACCGATACTCTTGTTTTGCGGAAAACGTTGAACGCGCCTTACACTTTGCCTATGCTCTAAGAATTGCTGACACATCGTGCAGACTTTTAAACGACGCTGTCCTTTCCGTTCGCCTGCAGGGTCCACTGGGCAGCGCTGGGTCATCTGGCTTTGTTGGGCAGCCCGGAGCTAAGGTGAGTTGGCAGCCTAAGTGGTAATAGACCCCAGCCCTGGGCTGAGCGTAGGGAGGTAGAGTACCTTTTTTTCTGCCTTCAAAAATGGCAAGACGAAATTAACGATTGCACCCAGGCAGGCTTGGAAAATGAAGCTTAAAACAATGTTATCGTAGGCATGCTGCACACTTAAATTTCAACAACCTCAAAAGAAAAGTCAAAATTTCAACACAGGACATATTGATGGGTAGGCCCATTATATATATGAAATAGTATATACTGCCTGTGACTAATTTGGGTGTTCCTAACATACTTTCACGTAATATAAAAGCACAGCGTTAATGTATTTTATTCAGGTTTGTCCAAAATAGGTGTTTTGTACTGGTGGTTTAGTTTTATCCTATCGTACACGACCATAGTCATAGAGTTAATATAAATTGGGATATGTGGTGGGGGCAGGGGGGTTACCAGTGTCTCCTGGGGGAAGGCTGCCTCTGTGTGGTGGCAGCTGCTGTTGGAACTCTGTCCTGTGTAGTTCAGTAGAGGTACCATATTCTCTGGATTATAAGATACACTTTGTTCCCTGTGTTTAACAACAAAAAGTTGGTATGGGGTGGGGGGCATCTTAGAATTTGCTTCACATGTGTGTGATTATATTTATATAACTTTATTCACACGGGTAAAACAATAGCGTTGGGAAACATGTACGTGTGTGTGTGTTGAAATTCTTTCGCACCCGTACGTAGCCAACCGCGCTAATCAGACCTGCGAGGAGTTTGTGCCTTGCCGTTGATGCTGTGTCCCGCAGCCCGCTCTCACCTGTACCGGTCTGACCAGCCCCACCGTCGTCGTGTCATTTGCAGGGTGAGCTCGGTATTGGTGGGTCGCGTGGGCCTGCGGGGCCACAGGGGTCACATGGTGAGGTCGGACTGCCTGGGCCTCCTGGCCTCGTCGGGCTCCCGGTACGCTTCTTGCTCGGATTTTTTTCTACATTATTTATTATTATGATGTTCCCTTCCTCCCCCCCCCCCCACCAATGTATTCCCATTATGCGAATCGTTGCCGCGTCGTGAGATGAAGAATCTGCAGTGCGACCCTTCGTGTCACAAATACGGCCCACAGAGCCGTTTGCCGCAGAGCTACCTCTGAGATCCCTTCAAGTGACCTTTGCATCACACAAGTCGAGAGCTGAAAATGTCCCACCTGCACTGCCACAGAGAGAGAAATGTTCATCGCATAATTAAAATACATCAAAGTGATGTGATTCAATTATCCGAGCTAGAATTTTAACCAAATTTAGAGGCAGAACCGATTATTACAAAAAAAATAAACTCGCTGCACTTGAGAACTCAGTTTCACCATAGGCGACTGCTTGGTTTTGAACCCCGGGATCTCAGCGTGGTGGCTCAGCTCTCTGACCTCTAAAACCACGGCGCCACCCCCATTTGTTTTGTTTTGTCACTCTCTCTCTCACGCGCTCAACAAACACGAGGGAGACGGGGGGGGCAATGCCTGCCTATGCGCCGTACGTAGTGTACGTGCGCGAATGTGTAGTCAATTTCACGCACAAGGTCCGCACCAGCCACGGGATGCCCGTGGACATTATGGAAATACAGACGATGCGTTTGGCGGGTGTGCACGTCGTCTTAATACAGAGCTGTTTTCATGAAAACAAATATTCGAACTCTGGACCCGCCTGAAAAAAGAAAGCATCTTGACACCTGTTGAGGCTTTCCTGGGTACATAATTGGATATTATTATGGAGTGTATATTTTTTTACAGGTTTTTGTCATGGACATTGCGCTGCATATACGACATTGCATAGGGCATCTGTGCATTCTCACAGTGCTCTCTATCAGTCGTATGTGTGCCACAGTCAAGTGTTCTGTGTGTGTGTGCTATCTCTGCCCGCACCGCGCGTGCCCATACGCCACGAACCGCGTGGGCACGCAGCGCCTCTACGGGGCAGGGGCAGCGAAATGTGTTCAGCAAAATGCACATTTAAGTCTTTTAAATCAATCACGTTTGCCCCCGGTGCAGCTCTGACCCAAGTGTCCTCGGAGTTTTACTCGGGGCATCAGAGTCCGCTTCGGGCAGTCTTACAGTTGCCATTCGCTGAAGACTTCTTATCCCAGCAGATACCTTCAACCCTCAGTCCACCACACAAACTGCTTATGCAGCGTGTGTGTGTGTGCGAGCCCCAAATTTATTCCAAGAGGCCATTGCGCTGCTTTGATTCATTGTCAGAATTTAAACGCGCTGTGATGCACACGGTGCATTACCTCATTGTTTTGTTTGTGTGAAGTGGCGTTTTGTTTTAACCTACGACGTTGTTGAGGCCATCCACTTTGAACTGCCAATCGTTGTTATTCATATGCGTTGAGTGCTTATGTTTTGTTGTAATGATATTGTTTCAAATTCGAGGGCTGCTATTGTTATTGTCAGCAGTGAAGCAATTGAATTCGCGTTCCATGCCACCAAAATTATTGGAAAGCTAAATATTGTCACATTTCTAACTGCACATAAGCAAGTAAGAAAGTTAAATACAACTTTGAAGCTTTGCCTTGAAAGTTTCTCACGATTATTTACGCGTTCAGATTATTTGGCAACTATAAATTCCCACATATGATGAGCCACTTCGATGAGCCATCATGTGTGACCAGGTTACCTCTGAACAAAAAGAGCTAGCAGGTCAGTGGGCTTTACCTGCTCAAATAAAATAGCTTAGTTACAAATAAATAGATAGACGTGCTGTGTTGGGAGAGTGACATTGGCCAGTGGTAGCACATTCACCGCGTGTTGCAAAGGTTCACGGTTCGAATCCAGTGGCCACCCTGATTTTTATTACTGTGGGTGTAATAACCATCACAATAACCGCAGTCGGCGGTTAAGGTCCCATGAAGTAATTCTCAAGAGTCTGCTGTTGTGTGCCAACTGCCAGACTCATGCCCTGTGTCACTCTTGCGAATGAGACTCATCCAGGTCTCGGCTAGTTACAACCAAATTAACTTGTATTCAAAATCATTGTGCAATTTTTGTTTTAAACAGGGAAACAACGGACATAATGGAAAATCTGGAAGCAAAGGACCACTTGTAAGTATTTGTGTTTATGTATATGTGTGTCATGCATTATACTCTCCCTCACTGCACAATCTATTGTGACAAAACAAATGATCCCTTATCGAAAATCGATCCAATATAACCACCCACGCTTTATTATGTAGTTACATCGTATTCCAAAGGTTATATTTGAATATCGGAATGTACCTCGCTCATTAACTGAGCCACGGGATGATATAAGACTTCAAACTAGTACCTGGAGGCCATCGCGCCCAGTCCCGGCGGCTCGTGGGTATTTCGTGTCGCACGGCAGCGGGAGGCAGAATCGGCGAGGCGCTTTGTTATATTCTTTTGCGAGATCGCCCACGCGCCGCACGGCGTCCTGCCCAATGCAGCCAGCGCTCGCGTGGAATGTCATCTGCTTGGCACATTACGTAGACATAACATCGACAGAAGTAGGTTAGTTCTATGGGGGGGGGGGGGGGGGGGGGTGGGGGGAAGTCAAGAAGGATAATTAATTTTTTTCAAGGCATTTATTTCTGGCCCGAAATGTTGATCTTTCTTACCTGGAAAAACCTATGACGTAGTCGGAGTGACTGTAAAAAAAAGTCTGGCTGTATGGTTGAAATATGTGTTTATGTCTATGTGTGGTCGTCTGTAATAATATCAAAAAGTATTTAAACATTTCTGTAAATTTTTCAGGAATGCTGTAAAAATTAATTTGAAAGATCAATAGGCACAGTATATATGAACCAACATATTTAATTTCAACCATCTTTAATTACATATCTCACAATTGATTATACCATTACTCACAATTAACAACCATGTTTGTGGTGTTGACCGTGACAGTGATGATGATAATGATGACGATTATTGAGATGTGGATGATGATTCGGCACAAACATCTAAGCGAGTTATCGTGATTTACCCAACGATGCCCTTAATTCCATTACAGCCTGTCATCCACAAGATTGGCGAGTGCCATCCTAGGAATTGTGTCACCTCTGGCTGTCACCCATTAGTGAGTGTGTGGGCATGAGGACCCACACTAGGAGTGCAGCAGATGATGGGGTGGAACATGGGGTGTTGATAGCACATGCGGTGCGGTGGCACATGGGGTGTGGTGGCGCATGCAATGCGGTGGGACATGTGGTGTGGTGGTACATGCTGTGTGGTGGCATGTGGCGGTGCTGTGACCGTGAGTGGCGTCTGTATGACCCCTGACCCTTCACAGGGAAACCCTGGCATTGCTGGAGCCCCTGGCTTCCCTGGCCCCCAGGGAGTGTTGGGCCTCCCAGGCCAAACCGGCCTCGCTGGCCTCAAGGGGCCCTCTGTGAGTACCGCACGTGACCTTTGCACACAGATCGAAGCTGCAGTCATTATACACGAATGTGATTAACACGTAATGCACACACCACCTAAAGAAAGCAACTTTATCCACACTGGATTGTTATGACCACTGATATGTATTCTTTAAAACTGCCTACTTAATAAGGTATAATGGATAACAATGAGGCTCTTGTTGTACCCATGGCAGTGACCCTTGTATCAGACTACAAAGACTCTGTGTGCGGCTCTGCTGCATGATGTAAACATTGCATGTGTTTATGAAATCAACTGGTAGAAAACTTAAATTAGATTATGTTAGGTTTCTGATCATTCTTTTGTGGATAAAGTTACGAATGTTTGTGAGATTTACAGATCATCGGCATTTCACCTTCAATGAATGTCTCACACGAATTTTAACCCTGGATGTTTGTTCCACTCAGGGCGATATTGGAATTCCTGGCTTGAAGGGAGAACCAGGCTCCAAGGGTGAACACGTGAGTACAAATGTCCAGCTCCCGCAAATTATATATTACGCACCTCGAGATGTACTGCATGGAAGGGCGCGATATGAAGAATAAATGATTACGATTATTATTATGATGTAGGTCAAATTATTGCAGTCGTCTAAATACTTGGCTCAGGAGTGATTGTGCTGTGGGAAGGTAGAGGCTTGAGAAGATGGTGTAGTTCAGGGGATCAGTAACCAAAATAACAAGAAGAGCCTTTTTTTGGATTCAGTAAAAAAAACTCTAATATTTCAAGAGCCGCAATGCATTTGGTGAATATCAGACGATGGGTCCTTAATAAATAACATCACGGAGCAGTCTTTAAAGAGTCGCATGCGGCTCCGGAGCTGCGGGCTACCGATCCTCTGGCCCAGGTAGAGGCATAATGGAGGTTGACGTTTAAAGACTACGTGGAGCATGACTAAACACAACATTCAGTAATGTCATTTGTGCGTCTGTCTAAAGAAGAGAGCTCGTGTGCAGTGTGAACAGCTTGGGACAGCAGCGTGTGACTGAGGTCAGGTTAAAATGATCTTCCCAAGCAGGTGTTTTCGTTCGGAACGCTCAGTGGCATCTCATCGCTCGTTGGAACGGCTGCTGTCACAGTTATCATTATTTCTGTCAAGCAAACAGGACACAAATTGGGAGCGCAGATCGGGTGATGCGGCAATTACGGCTGCAGCTGAGCATACTGCCGTGCGTCATTGTCACATGAGCAGAGCTGGGAGCACACCTCCTGTACGGGAGCCACATTGATATCCGTGCGACGCACAAATGCTTAGATAGGGGGCTCAAGGTGCCTGCCGTTGTTTTTGTCCGACACCTCTAGACTTGTCCACTCAGATAGGGGCATCTTCTGGCAGGGTCGATGTCCAGCTCAATCCCTTCCCAGTGTTGCCTGGGAGGGGGCATGGGGAACATGAACATTCAAAGAATAAAGGAGGATGGGCACAATGCTGACCGCACGACACTCCCACAGCACCACGCTGGTTTTAATAGGTGCTCGCCGACAGCACTAGACGGGGAGCCTTTGTCATTGAGTGTGTGTGCGTGTGTATGTGCGTGTGTGCGTGTGTGTGCGTGTGCCTTGGTGGCTCTGTCTGTCCGACTCAGGGCAACGCTGGTCTCTCGGGAGCCGCGGGTTTGTCTGGAGAAGAGGGCAAGCGTGGCAGCCTCGGCGAGCAGGGCAACGTTGGCTTGGCCGGCCCGGCTGGTGCCAGGGTACGTTCACTGGTGCTGCAATTTTGTCAGAGCAACAGACACAAGCCTGATGTTGCGTCTATCAAACAGCTGGACGTGTAGCTCAGCGTCCCATTTCAAGGACTTTACGGATCTGCATTGCTGGGATGTCGCATCTAATATCGAACTGAGCTAAAATGCTGCAAATGGTTTGTGAGTCAAAGTGCCTTAATGTCTGCCCTGATTATTGGTTTGTGTGCAGGGTGCCCCTGGAGTCAATGGCTTCCCAGGTCCCAACGGGGGTGCGGGTGGCATGGCAAGTGAACTCCAATTGCATTTCTCGAAACAGCGAACGAGCACAACGTTACCCATATGCAACACACATAACCTCTCACACATAATATACTTGGAAGGTGCAATTACATAATACTTTAAGCGCATGCATGTGTGCAACAAAAATTGTATACGTTTGTGGCGTGTACCATCACCATGTATTGTGGTCGTTATTGAGCGCGCATTCGTGCGTGCGGTTATTGCGATTGCGTGTCGCTGATGCGCGTGCATGTGTGTGTGTGCCCATGTGCGTGCGTGTGCGTGCGTGTGTGTGTGCGTGTGCGTGCTTGTGTGTGTGCCGCACCTCGTATCAGGGCCTGCCTGGTGATCGAGGAGCGGCCGGTCCTTCCGGAGCCAGGGGCCTCCCCGGCGAGCCCGGCAACCCCGGCGAGGCCGGTGGCACGGGAGCGAGGGTGCGTGCGGCCTCCTGCCCTCCCCCCAGCCACCTCTTTCCCCTGCCACCACCGCCGCCGCCGCCGCCGCCGCCGCTGCCCCCCCATGCCTAGGCCCACAAAGCGGGGGCCCAGCACCTGCTTGCCGCTCAATTGAACCCTGAGCCAGTGTCGTAAATTCCACATTCTTATCACGGGGGCAAGTATCCCTATTGGGCAACCACTGGTTAACTTCCCCACGAAGTGGTGGTCGCTTCACTCCCCCAGGGGTCAATTACGATTATACTTGTGTCGTTTGTAATGAATTGCAATCGCCAAGTAATTATGATTAGAATTCCTGCCGACACTGCTGCTGCAATAGTCATCATAATGTGACCTCGGGTGTGCTGGATGGATGACGGCTGATTTGATTCCCCGACGAGTATTTTGAACTCGCAGAACTTCAGATGGCGAGCCCATGCGCTCTCCTGCTGCGTTCTGCCCGGCTGAATCTCGTGCACAGCGCCCAGGCTGATGGGCGCGTGGCATGGCTATCGCTTTTGCCCGAGAGTGCGAAATATTTTATTCCTGGAGTGCATCTCGGGCAATTGTGCGATGCCCCGTTGGCTTCGTCCGTTGGCCGTCGCGATGATCGCATCCCGTGTCTCCCCCGCAGGGTGCACCGGGGTCTACTGGCAGCAGTGGTCCTTCTGGAAAGTCTGGTGCTCAGGTAAACTCGCGCCTCAACCGGCCCACCATCGCTTACGAGCCCCTTTTTAAAGTGTGATGTACTTTTTCAGTTGGCTTTGTATTTTTTTTTTTAAGTGGTAATACAAAATATTGCATATTATGAGTTAACTTTTTTGCAAAAAGAGTTCAGGAAATAAAAAAAGGGTACACGATTAAAATGTCATCTAAATGCTCACGGTAATGAATAATTCTTCGAAACGAGTCGAGTATTTATTTACGTAAGATTTCTATAGCGTTGAAACAAAATATATGTCGCATTCATTGAGAACAACAAGTAGCGTTTGTTGTAAATACGTGTGCAGCCCCGACAGCTTTTGATCAACAGCGGCCTTATCTCAGTTGTGACCGTGGGGCTTCGATGTCTTCCTGTGTGCGTTGCCGCGTGCGTTTTCCTGCAGGGTGCAGCTGGACAAGAGGGCCGATTGGGTCGACCAGGCTCCACCGGTGGCCGAGGATCTCCTGGTCCCATGGGATTCCCTGGGCCCAAGGGCATTGATGTGAGATCATCATGCCACTCACGTGATGGCTGTGTTAATTTAGTCGGAATCTTAATTTTTTTATCATCATCTTTAGTCTACTGGAACGAGAACCTTGTGGAGTTGTAGTCAAGTCTTAGTCTTTGGATTTCATTTAGTCATTCTCTTAGTTTAGTCAATGATTTAGTCCATTTTTAACCAGCGGTCTCCGTAAATCTTTTCATCTACATTATGTAGCCAATTGACATTTTGGTTTTCCATGGTGCACTGCAGTCTCAATGCAGTGCACAAGCAAAGCCCATCTCACGTAGGAACCTATGTGGGGTGCCACGATGACGAAAAGTTAACTACCTCGCCTGATATACAGGAGGTCGTGGGTTAGATCCCGACCCTGATGTCTGTATATTTGGAGTTTGCGTGTTTTCCACGTCGTCGCAATTGATTTTTCTCCAGGCCCTCCGGTTTTTCCCTCCACATTCATGAACGTGCATTTAGATTATTTGGCTGAAATAGATTTCCACGCGATGAGCCACTTTGTTGAGTTGTCATTTGTGGCCAGGTCCCTTCTGAAAAAGAGAGCACTGTAGCTGAGTTTAGTTCACCTGTGCACAAGTGTGACCATGCAAGGCACACGCACGCTGACACAAAATGCATGAGAACATCTCGTTTCTCCGCAGAAATGGTGACGTAACTGCAGTGTGTAGCTGTCCAAGGTGTTGTGGTTTTACCCCTCGCCGCTTTCGATTTGATGTCCAACGTTTCAGTTACCTCCATGCTGCCGGCACGTGAAGAGAATTTCCAGATGTTACAACCCGAAAGCCGACGCAGTAGTAACTGCAGTTTGATGGAAATCGCTTGAGCAATTGCAAAAATGGAACTGCCGCACTTTCAAATCGTGACAATTTGGGCACAATTTTGAAGTGAAATTTGTTGTGATTTCACGCACGATTTGAAGTGGAGCAGGGACGCAAAGGCACCGTTTTTGCTGGGCAAGCGCAGCGGCGTCCGCGTCATCTTGGAGCATAAACCATCATCAAGCAATCTCTGGTCATCCTCGCAGCAGCGGCTTTTGGCTAACCATCAAACGAAGATGGTCTCTGCATCGCGCGCTTTCAAATGCGCGCTTCTGTGGCCATCTGGAACGCTCTTCCCATCGATATTAGGAAGCCACTGGGAGCTACGCGCTTTTAAATCAAGATTGAAAACCAATTTCTTGAGAAATAGATTTTTTGTTGTTTAGTTTGTTGTCGTTCCCATCGCACCTCCAATGAGCGTGGTTGGCCACGTACGGTGTGAAAGAAGTTCAGCATGCGTACAGGAGAATTTATGAATTCCTCGCGTCGGATGCGGCTGATGGAACTGCTGTCGCTGCTCTGTCCCACAGGGGGAGGTCGGGCCACCCGGTGCCACTGGCGGTAATGGAAACCGCGGTCCCATGGTGAGTCGGAAGCAAACAAAAAGTTCTGAAATAATATTGTAAAATTACTCAACGGTCACGCTGTCGGGCCGCGTTGGCCTGCAGCTACGCGTGCGTTTTAAGGCAGTGAATGTCGGGATAACTCTTGGTGTTGGGAAACACAACAAAGGGCAATGGTGGAGCCCAAAGTCTCCCACGCAATGTGTTTTCCTCTCCCAGGGTGTTCCTCTCACTGAGTGTCCCCTTTTGCTGCATGTCCCCCTTGTTGAGTATTCTCTTGCTGTGTGTCCCACTTGATGCGTGTACCCTTTGCTGAGTGTCCCCCTTTGCAAGTGTCCCCCTTGCCAAGTGTTCCCCTTGCGGAGTGTACCCCTTGCCGCGTTTCCCCCCTTTGCTGACCACAGTGTTTGTGCTGGCACAGGGCGAGTCTGGGAAGGATGGGGAGAATGGAGCACGGGGAGCGGGAGGCCCCATGGTGAGTGGTGCTGGGCTTCACGTGGAGTGCGGTTCTCGTGCACTTCACTCCCCATTCATGGTCTCTTTCCATTCCCCACCAATTGGAGATGGGAGCTTACCTGCAGGGGATTTTAGGCGTACACCTTGGTGTTCGGAAACACAGGAAACGTTGTTAAGTGACTCTTCTGCTACTCCACAAGTCTAGAACTCTCTTCCCCCAGCCGTCCGTGCTGTTGACCCCTGTTCAAGTCTTTCCCCCACCTCTGATTAGCACGGTTGGCTGCGTACGGTGCGAAAGTAGTCCAACATCCACACATAAAAGTCCAGGCTCAGAGACCTTCCATTGCCTATGACTGACTGACTGCCTGCATCTCGATACAATAAATACGCTCACTGTTTCTGCAACAGCGTTCTGAGGTGTGGTCGCAACTTAGACATTGGACAAATCCACATCGTCAAAAGGGGGCCTTTGCACGTGATGACCCGAGGCCACGGGTGCATGGGTCGTGGGTCACACGGCTAACGCTCCTTGTGTTCGCGTGGCAGGGCGCAAGCGGAGAACGAGGAGAGCAGGGGGCCTCTGGACTGGGTGGCCCACAGGTAACGGGCGCCCACGCACGCACAGACCAGCAGCAGATCGCTGCGAGAAACATCCGGTGATGTGATGCCAATGCGAATAAGACTTACCTAGGCTTGATCACCACGTTTACTGTGCACGTAACGTGCCTCTTCGTGTTGTGTCTCTATTTTAGTTTTTTTTTCGCCCCCCCCCCCCCCCATTGATGTTAAAAGGTGTTCGGTATTTATTGTGCGGCATTTTGACATGCAGTTGCATGATTGACGCTGTGTTAAATTAAATTAGCGAGATGGTATTGTATTGTGGGCAAAAGTACCACATCGCCTTACTGCTCACACGTTAGATATATGTTCCTCTAGATTTTTGCATAGGAAATTCCACTACAGGCGATGGAGATGAGAATAATCTTCACGGTGATAATGTTGATGATGATAATGATTGTGATGATGATTATCATGAGACAGATGTGACGATGAGAATGATGATGACGACGACGATGATAACAATAATGTTGATGAAGATGATTGTGACGATGGCGGTGGTGGTGATGATGATGAAAGAGATGTGACGACGATGATGACGATGATAACGCCGACGACGATGATAATGACGATGACGATGATGACGACGACGACAACGCTGATGATGATAACCGCAGCCCTAACTGAGCTCTTTATCTCTATATTTCAGGGTGTGCCTGGCTCGCCTGGTGGACCTGGCATGGCTGGCAGACTGGGTGACAGAGTGAGTATTGCTGCTGCAATTAGTTGGCAATAGAGTGGCAGGAACTGTGTTTGTCATCGAGTACACATCAGGTGGACGTTGAGTGGCATTCATGCGAGCAGTAGAAACTTGTTTACCATTCTCTTTGTAGTTGAATGATGCGCTGTTGTTTTGAGAGGCACATTTGCTAGGTTAAAAACGCTTTTACTGATATGCCCCATGGAACCTTGACATTGATGAAACGTGCTGCAGTCTTCATAATTGCATCACATCCGTGCGCATTCTCCTTATGTATGTGCAGTGTGCGATGGTGCAATGGTGAGCCCTCTGCGTCAGAAACCCCGAGGCCTGATATCATGTTTCTGACACGACTGGGGTCCTGAGTCCAGTTTCCGAATCGATGTTGGCCCCCCATTCCCCGGCCCGGACTGATCAGTATCGTCAAGTGTGGTCAGATAGCCCCCCCCCCCCCCCCCCCCCCGCGACCGATATATTGTATGGGGAAGCTTTCATCCGGCAGTGGATTAACAATGATAAATATAATAATTTTAATTATAATTACGTTATCTACTATGAAATACGATGAGTTGGATACAACTGAGACAGAAAAGACAGAATATGGTAACTGTGGCCCCACGAATCAAAAACTGTCCGTTCAAAAAATAAATAACCACTCACTTGGTGCTACGTAATTTGATGTAAGATTGTCGGCAACCTCTTCGCATTGTGGATGTAACAAACACCATGTGCTCCCTTCCCCCCCCACCCCCCCCCGTGTCCACTGCTTCCACCGCCACCTCTGCCCTCCAGGGAATGCCGGGAGATTCTGGTGCGCCTGGAATTTCTGGCACCAAGGTAAGAGAGACCCTGGCAGCCTCGGCGCGTACATAGCGATGACGGAAATGACGGCGTATTTTAAACCGTTTGTGTTTACGAGCGACATTTGTACATTATGATACACGGCGTGTCAATGAAGGTTTCATCCGGGGATTAGGGAATTGTATTTGGATGGTGGTTTGGGCAGTGTTGGTTGAATGTAGGAGAGGAGTCGAGTGTTTGACAAAAAAAAAACATTGGAGTGATATTGAACAACTCAACACGGAAGCAAACGAAACTGTCCATGACATAACTCTTTAAAAAAAACACACGAACAATTGTGACGCAGGACATTTACTCTTTTTTTGTTTTACACAGCCAATGATTGGAACCCGTTTACCCGCATGACAGAATGAGAGATTTTTCCAACCAGCATCCGAATATTCACAACACGAACATGTGATTTAGCTTGACCTTTTGTAACTTTTTAACATGGGATACGAAGTTATTACGTGCGCTGTCGATGCCACCGGACAACGATCCACGGTCGATGGAATCGATCGACTAAACCAGTCACGTGTTGAACAACGGCATGGGGGTGACGTGCAGTGTCCGAGAGGGGAGACTCGTACTGTCGCATCTTCTCACCACTGAGCGAGTGCGCGCGCGAGTCGTTCCAATCAAGCTCACTCGCACCGCTGATAATAATCACTCTCACAGAGGATCCTCTCTTGATGCGCACCCTGCACATAATCTGTATTCAGATGAGTAAAGAAATGAATCCAAAACCCATCAATTCCTTTCTTGTGTATGATTGCATCAAAATGTTCCGAAGCTAAATGCCAGTATCGTGCTCTGCTAGCCACAACAAGAGGGCTTCAGGAGAAAGTTAATTCCTCTGTTGAAGAAACGCAAACAAAACCATTATACATTATACGTGCTATGCACCAGTATCAATTATGTTAGTGGATTTTTTGTTTCAGTTTTGTGTATATAAAATGATAAAAATAAAATAAAACTGCCGTGAATAAATTAATATTTTTTCAAATATATACATGTTTTACTTTCTTTCACAACCACCAAAAAAATACTTTAAAACAAATGGAACGGCCGTCTGTGAAGATGCGACACTTGCTACTGACGCTGCGAGATAAACAGTTGTGCTCCATGCCACGGCAGCACCGCCGGCGGCATTAAGAGACTCAGACATTCAGATCGGTGTAAACAAATATTGCTTCCTCCCAAAAATTGTTCCCCCATGAGAATTAAGAGAAGTTCCCACCACCAAGCAAAACATTACTCTCGTTCGGCATATGCTCGGCTTAATTCCTCACTGAATATGTTTCGGGTCACTGGTACGTTGGAGTAGGCATTTGCCTAGCAGCCAAAGCCATATAAGAAGGTATACTGGATGTGGTGTGCCAGATGTGGACATATTTTCATGATTGCTGGCCTGGTCTGACTTGGCTGAAATTAATTCCATTGGATTAGAGTTGCTTTCTTAAGTGGTGCAAATATTCAGAAGGGAAACCAATATTCCCAAATGTTTGTTGGTAGGGGAACATGAAATTTGTGGCAGAACAAATACTTGTGGGGTACATGTATTCTCTGACAAAGTGGCTTCGTCAAACACGTTATGTAGACACACTTACCATGTGCTCACTCACCCACGTATTCACTCACACATTTACTCACTCACTCACTCACCCACTTTCCCACTCACTCCCTCACGCTGTGTGTTCCAGGGTGAGGCCGGCACACCTGGTGAGCGCGGTTCTACTGGTTCCAGCGGCATCCAGGGCATCCGTGGTCAGGCTGGAACCCCCGGCACCTCTGGAGCCAAGGTGAGATGGTTTCCTCGAGGGAGAGAGGCCGGGAGAGCTGGTCAACTCCTGGCCCCCCACCCCCACCGAGCGGTGGCGCATTGGTTAGCGCACTGCGATGCTGCTATCTCAACAAACTGGGTGTAATTCCTGAGCTCGGGTAAAATCAGTGGCAAGTGATATCTGAACCTGTTCTGGCCTCTGCCTCCACTAAACCGACATTGACAATCGGTACTGGACATCTGTGGAATCTACTGGACATCTGTGAAAAAGAGCTTCATAGCTCATCGGATTCCTCCAGTCTAAATAAAGATCATGATTCTGTTAAGCACTCGGGAGACTTAGGCAGCCATAACCACACCCAGCCGCTCGAGCGTCACACTCGCCCAACAGTCAGTGCAGCGGCTACTGGGCGATGCTTTGTCCCCCGTTGTAACCACCCAAATCTCTCGTTTATTGACCCCCGCGGCCACCATAGCAGGCACTTTGGGACCTGATCCGCGTTGGGACCTAAAGCTGCCCAAAGCAGGGCGCCTGAATGCGTGTCAGCAGACGCGCTTTAGCAACACAACGTCCGGTAGTAGTAAACAGCCAGTAATGCGGTTGCTTCTGTAAAATGAAACTTGCCCGCATGTAGTGTGTCTGACGTTGTCTGGGAAACGCTTGATGCACGACGATGGCAGCACACCATTTGCTGTTTGCGCTTTGTTCACCGAGATTGTCACAAATGTGACTCCTCAGCGTCTGGGTAGATTGGACCCCGGTTTGTAGGTGGCTCTGCTCAGTCGTGTGAAGTATGCACACGATGCAGTGGCATAGTGCGATTGGCATGGCGACCTCGTGCAATTCATGAAATGGAGTCACCTGTTCAAAAGTATAAACCATACTACTAAACTCTTTTTATTTTACCCAGGGAGGGCTCACTGAGCTATATAGCTTTTTTTCACAAGCGACTTGGCCACAAATGGTAGCTCAATGAAGCGGCTTGTGACGTGGACATTTATAGCGGCCAACCGGATTTTTCTCCGGGTCCTCCGGAAAAACCGGAGGACCCGGAGAAAAATCCACATGACCGCGGGAAGAGAGACATGCAAACTGCAAATATACAGCAGGCGTCAGGGGTCGGGATCGAACCCATGGCCTCCTGCATACCGGGCGAGGTAGTGAACATCTCGCCACCGTGGCAACCCTCTTCGCAACCCGGCATCTGAGCCCCTTCAGCCCATGGGGCACCCATGCAATGGCGCCGGCTGCATACCCGGTAGCTACTCCTCTGCTTCGATGGCCCAGTGTCTGTCCCTCCGCGAGAGCATCGTGAAGCGGCAGTGCGTGAGCCACAGAGTCCCGTGGTCTCACTCCATCAGGGCGCACGTTCTGGTGTTCGGTTTCAAGTTTGCTGTTGCTTTGGAGGCGGTTTCACGTTTCTGTTATTCCATCCCATGTCTTTCAATAGATCTTCTGGCTTCCTGATTGTGTTTTTTTTTCCCAAAGTGTTTGGTGCGAGTGTTTTTTTGACTGCCATTGGTTTTGTTATTCTTATCGCTGTACATGAATGGCGTACTTATGTAAACGCTCTCACTTCTCCGTCGGGCCTTTGGTGAATGGGTGCATTTTGGGGACGACAAAATCTTTGTTTCTAAGCCAAAATATCCCCAGATAAATATTATTCATTAGTCCTAGTCATGTCATTTATACCCCTTGGATAAGAGGGGTTTTTTTTTACGATATTTCAAAAGTCACATGTACGGGAAATTGTATTTAACTTTTATGATTTACTTAGGCTCATCATTTCAATTTACTGGTCTCCATTGAAATCTAGGCGATCAGATGCCAGATTACGTGTTACTGAGAAGGCATGTACTGTACAGATAACAAACGGGAAAATATCGTGTCGCATCCTTTTCCCACCGCAGTATCAATATTAAATGCCAACTAAGTCATGTTGATGTTTCCTCCTGACCAATTATAGCAAAAACTTGAGCACGCAGAAGCCAGATGCACTCATCACGTGTACATAAGACGCAAAAAAAACATCGTTGCATATTTTCTACAGCAATGCCAATTCAAAATCTGATTATCAATACGATGTATTTATGAACAAACTGACGACAGCTGTGTGGAATTGTACACCAGAAAAGGGGAATATTCTGTTTTTCACAGACACGTGGGGGGGGGGGGGGCGCTCAAATCGACGGGGCGACGATTTGGGGTAATGCGTCAATAACGCTGACCCCTTGCCGGTGATTCTCTCCCCACCCCCCCTCCCGTTGCGATGGCAGGGCGAGGCTGGAGTTGTTGGGCCATCCGGTCTCATTGGAAGCCCCGGTGCCTCTGGGCTGCCGGGTGAGAGAGGTGTAAGCGGAGGCCCCGGAGGCAAGGGGGAAAAGGTGCGACATACACGCACGCACTCGGCCTGCTCACGCCCTGTGCTCACCCTAATCGCGGACACTCGAACAAAGACGATCGCCGCAACGCGCGCTTTCAGGTGCGCTTCTGCGGCCGTCTGGAACGCTCTTCCTTGCAATATTAGGAAGCCGCTGGAGTGATGCACTATTAGATCATCTGGATTTAAAACTAATTTCTTTACAACTACTTTTTTCGTTTAGTTTGTTGACCTTCGCCGCACTTCCGATTAGCACGGTTGGTTACGTACGGTGCGAAAGAAGTTCAACATACATACATACGTATGCATGCACTCGACCACGCACGCACCAAGGCGTCCATGCGTCTACGATTGCCCACTTGTGCAAGTCAACATTCACGAACACACACACACATGGTGACTCAAGCGAGAACTGTTTATTGTAATGGAATTGGAAGAAAAACATCCCATTGCACGATTCTCGTGCATAATTAATTAGTGTTGAGACTCAGTGAGGTTTGCTTTTATAACATAATGACATTATTATTATGATTATTGCGTGCAATCACGTGAACCTCCGGCCGTGTGCAACCTTGCACGAGCTCATGAGCTGGTCCTTGAGAATTCAACGAGCGTGCACGCGACCTGACGCTCAATTCAGACTTCTGTGCGCAGTTGTGCGCTTGCACGCACGTACTTGACACACGGTGGTTACGGTACGATCTTCGATGCACCCCTAATGTTATATTTAGTTCAACAGACGTACGCACGCACACACACACACACGACACCATTTCTAATGCTCGTGCTTTTAAGAAAAGCCCTACTGAAACGATTCCACGGACGTGAACGTGGTGTTGCGTGACATCTCTTTCGATGCTGCCTCCCGACGCCGTTCCTCTCTTAGGGTAACAACGGCGAGAGAGGCTACGAAGGGAACCCCGGCAAAGACGGAGCCCGAGTGAGTGCGGTTTTTCTTCAAGTGTATTTCACGTCGCGTAAACCAGCTACATTTATTTTCCAAACGTTGTAATAATGCATTCGTGGCAAGCGAATTCTGTATACTCACACGTATCAAAGAGTACATGCTTGTACTAGACGATTACTATTCTCTATACTTACATATGACACACACAGTGCTTTATTTCGACCGATTATGTTCACACAGTGACCCAAATAATATATCCGCACCCGGCATACCACATCCAGTATACTTCTTGCGATGGCTGTGGCTACAGCTGAGTTCTCAAGTCGACAGTGATGCAGAACATTTTCAGTGAGAAATTAAGCACCGGCTATGTGTGTACTCTATCCTACAAAACATGATTATAGTACGTGCTTAAGCGTGATTACAATTTTCTCATTGGCTCGCAAGTGTCACTGTAACATGTAGAGATAGGTTCTACGGCGAGTAGTTTGGTGAGGTCTAGCCACAAAGTCTTGAGCAGCCGTACTCTATACGGACAGCCCCGTTTTCGGCATGTAGGCCAATAATTTCGGGCTAAATAAACTTGCGTTGCATGAACAAGTTCACGGACTGGTGCCTTGTCCGCCGTGAATCCTCCCTGAATCCTCCCTGTGATTAATTCGTCCACGAGTCTGGAATACGACAGCGAGATTTTGGTAAATTCTAGCCAACGTAAACTGTAAGTGCTTCTTTTTTCAATCAGGGAATTAAATGAGAAACAAAATCACAAGGTAGTGTCTGTTTTGGCTGGCAGCACCCTGTAGATTAACAAAAAAATGTTAAAACTTAAGCTGGAATCATAATTTATTTTTCAGCCGACGATGCAGTGCACAGCGTTCGAATTGTTTTGGTTCAGGATAGCGAGATGGCATGGAAATACTCCCAATGTCGAGCTCAAACGAAACCACCCCATGACCTAAGATTGTAAACACTTCATTAAATGTATTTCACGGCTTAAGCCAACGAGACAAATTATGATTGCACGTGTCAGAGCTTTACCTTCAGAGGAAATGCAATTTCAAGTGGTTTGTTAAAAAAAAAGAATCTGCATAACGTAACACGCGCGTAGTGGCTAACGCAGCCCGGCTTGTGCAAATGCATTTTTTTCCCCGAAGTGTTGCTTCATTTATTGACCCGTCCTCTTGTCCCCACGCAGGGTGTGATTGGTCCGGTTGGGCCTCCAGGCCCTAGCGGTGCTCCAGGCGACAAAGTAAGTGGGGAAAATGCTTTCCTGTTTCTCTTGGAAGACACGGGTCTTTGGCTGCGCATTGTGAGGGCCCAGACCAGCCATCTGTGAAAACAAACCCTGGGCCCTGCTGGAAGCCTAGGCTCCTCACGCACGGGTGTGCCAGAGTTAGCAAATGTTAATCAAGACAGTGCATGGCCGCCCCAGTACTTGCAAGGCATGCCAATTGTGCAACGTCGGTTATGCTTTACATGTCGGCTGTTTTAGACAATGTTAGCTCCATGAGGTGTAAGTAAAAAAATAAATTGAACACCCCATGAGCTTAAAAGTTCCAGCAAGTGCTGGTTTTGTTATATTTAAACATCTTCACGCGGAACTGCTAATGGCTGTGTCACGTGTTTTTTGGGTTGTATCGCGCGGTGTTCAGCATGATGCCTGACGTTTCGTCCAACATTTCATTCCGGGTGCTGGGAGCTTCTTGACGGCTACTTAATAAGCTCTTGGCATATGGAGCAAAACGCCGGACAACATGTCAAACAAGATGCAGTGTACAACCCAGGCTATGCAGCACAACTGCGGGAACATTACGTGGCAGTGGAACTGTCAGTGTCAGCTCCGCTGAGTGGATTTGTCACGGGGTGTGGCTGAGTGGCGAAATGTTAACTCCCTTGCCTGGTATGCACGAGGTCGTGGTTTCGATCTCGACCCTGACGCCTGTGTATTTACTTTCCCCGTGGTCGTGTGGATTTTCCTCCGGGCTCTCCGGTTTTTCCTTCCACATCACGCGCTTAAGAGTTTTTTTGGCTGCTATAAATATCCACGCGATAAGCCACTTAGTTGAGCCATCATCTGTGGCTAGGTCGCTTCTGAAAAAGAGCCATATAGCTCTGCGGGCCTTACCCGGTAAAAATGAAAAAAAAATCGTTCGTAGCCTAGTTTTAGTTTCTCGTCTCTAACCGCGCTCACTCTCCCGCAGGGCGAGCATGGCGCCTCTGGTCCTCTTGGGCCGGCCGGCCCCGCAGGAGTGAACGTGAGTACTGCCCGCCTCGCCCGCCGCGTCTCCCGTGAACTCGCCGGCACACCGCTTCATCACACGCGACGTGATGCCACGCGGCAACACAACACGCACACCGCTTACGGGCACGGCGCCTGGGTCGGGAGTGGGGAGAGCGCACCGCTGTCAAGCGAAGCGACGCGCGGAGATCCGTGCGTCGGATAACAACGGTTGTGGTAGCAGTCTGCGGCGCAGAGTGATATTGTGCTTACATTCCTTTCAGAAGGATAAGATTAATCTTGGTCCGAACAGTGTGATGAGTAACAAAGCACAAAGCACTGCCTGCACTTTGCTGGATAATATACGCTCAGTCAAGTAAAAAAAAAGACATTGTTAGACAAAAATAAGTGTTGTGGGCACTGTTATTGCTACTAGTATTGTGGCCACAAGCTGACAGGTAAGAATATTAAATTTCATCCTTCGTGTAGTATGAGATGTACACATTATGGGGAGGAAAATGTAGATTGCATTGGTTACAAGGGTAAGAATCCATGTGTCCCCGGCTGCATTCACGTCTAAATTGAATGCACATTGAGCAGGATGCATTCAATTTGGCCATGGGATGTTGTTTTTCATAAGGATGGTATGCGGCGTGTCTGTGGCTCTGTTGCCAGCATGTCTGGTACGACACACACGTGCGCTAATGTAACCCAGTCCGTCTGTGCGATCAGCGGCTGAGCTTGCAAATGGTTTACATTAGTGTCGAACATGTACAAAGCCGCAGTGTGGTCAGCTAACAAAACCGACTACATGTGCCCACACGTGTTACACATAGCTACTGCACATTGATGCATTGCGGGTGTTACGTATGGCAACTTGGGTGATGTACGTGTGTTAGTGTGTGCGTGTGTGCACGTGTGTGTGTGTGTGCGTTTTTACACGTGACGTAGTTATGGAGAGGGGTGGCTTAGTAGTTAGCGCTCTCCTATGATTCCGGTTAAACCTAGGTTCGACTCCCAGTCACGGATAATATCAGTGGCAAATGATATCTCAACCTGTCCTGAACTTCCCCTTAGTTGACTCAACTTTAAATGATGAACCGGGGAAACAAATATAAAAAATATAGTCCAAAATAGCGCTAACGGCACATTATCCGTGCTCACGTACATGCGTTTGTGTACATTCACGTGTCACGCGTGTGAATTGTAGTCTGCTCGTGTACACGCGCCTGCCTGTATGTGCGGATGTAAGCCTATACAATGGGTAACACGTGCGTGTACACGTAAGGTACGCCGCTGCGTATCCACCACTTTGGCCGCTTGTGCACCGACATGGCCTGAGTTCACGCGCGTGCGTCCGTGCGTGTTGACTGCAGGGCGAGCGAGGCAGTGTCGGCTCCGCTGGAATCCCTGGGCTCGTCGGATCTCCCGTGGGTACCCGTGCCAACCGTCACCCGCGCAGCCCACTCGTCTCGCTTGCTGATGATGATGTCAGCGCTGCTGCTGCTGCTGCTGTCATCCAGCAGCATGAGCAGCAGCAGCAGCAGTATGGCAAAATGAATTCACTCACTAGACCGTGAATGTGGCTATCATAATTATCATCGGCCTCATCCCAGTAATCGAAGGACGACCCAATGCTTTATTGACGTTAATTTCTGCGTGATGAAACCTTCAGCGGATAAATAACAAGCTATAAAAAAAACTTCCACCTCATGCGTTTCGGTCAACCCACCACATATTTGCTCGCTCACGTAACGGACAAAACACATCACCTCGGCAATTTCCCTCAACGCCGGTGATACAAACATCGGAACATTGTCGCCCTCCAAGAGTATCGCTCACGGTGAGCACGTGTAAACCACCGCTACGCGGTATTGGGAGCTGATGCTTGTTTTTTACGTGGCCCGCGCTGGGGGTTCTAACGCGCGGTGTTAATGTGTTCCTCTCTCGTGCGAGCAGGGGCCCAGCGGCCACAATGGGGCCAAGGGTGAGAAGGGAGTGGCCGGTGGGAAGGGTGATAACGGAGCCCCTGGCATCCATGGATACATCGGGGCCCCGGGCCCACAGGTCAGCATCTGCATGCGTGCCATGCCCACGCAGGCCGCCTCACTCGGGGCCTATCACACAGCTCCTAGCATCGCACAGAGCTCCCTTTGCGTCACACACAGAGCTCCCCTTGCGTCACACGCAGCTCCGAGTATTAAAGACTGCTCCTGAGTGTTACAAACCTCCTAGCATCACGCAGCTCCTCCAGCGTCACACGCAACTTATAACATCACGCACAGCTCCTTCAGTATTGCACACAACTCCTCGCGTTGCACACAACTCCTAGCATCACACACAGTTCTCCTCGGGTCACACGCAGACCCCCTAGCATCACACACAACTCCCAGCATCACATACAACTCCGAGCATCACACACAACTCCGAGCATCACACACAATTCCTAGCATCACACACAACTCCCAGCATAACACACAACTCCCAGCATAACACACAACTCCCAGCATAACACACAACTCCCAGCATAACACACAACTCCCAGCATAACGCACAACTCCCAGCATAACACACAACTCCCAGCATAACACACAACTCCCAGCATAACACACAACTCCCAGCATAACACACAACTCCCAGCATAACACACAACTCCCAGCATAACACACAACTCCCAGCATAACACACGACTCCTAGCATCACACACAGATCATAGCGTCACACACAGATCATAGCGTCACACGCAGCTCCCTAAAATCGCACACAGCTGCAAGCGTCACACTCAGGTAGCTCCCCTAGCGTCACGCAGAAAGACAGCGTCAGGCCATGCGCATTGCAAGTGTCCAGACACGTTTTGCTATTTCGTTATTAATAACGACTGCAAAAGTGGTTGTCCTATGGAAAAACTCAGACCTTCCAGAGGAATGGGGATTTTCCACCACTGGCTCTAAGCTGAAAACGGGAGCTGAGTAGCTGCCCGTGCTGGATTGAGCAGCAAAACACGGAGACTCTTTTCACAAAAAAATGGCCTTGTTTTTTCTCAACGAACATTAAATATTGAGTACGTGCCCTATGAGACAAATCTCTTCCGTGCCGTGCGTTAGTCGTTTGCAGGCTTGTGATTCACCCTTTTAATTGGTGGCTATTAGTTTCGTCTGTATTGGACGTTACTGATTTTTGTTCCTCTTTTACTGTCTATTGTCCACGTACATATGATGCATCGTTTAAAAACTCTGATGATGCATGCAGTTTAAAAAAAATGTAGCCTCTACAACCGTTCTCGATGAAACACTTTACCTGAATTATTAAACGATTCTTCATGGTGATTTGCTCCATGGCACTGCTTTATCGCGGGCCTTGTGAATAGCTAATCAGCTGACTGCTGCAGCTGCTGCTTAGTCACCCATTTGTGTATAACACCGCAATCCTCCACTGCTGTCAACTAGGGGCGTGCAATGCACTATAATCCTGGGGTCATTTTGATTCCTAATGTCTCACGATATACGTGCGTCACGAATCGACGCGTTGGCGTCCGTATAATTTGTACGTAACGTAATTTTACCGTGCGTCGTTAATTCACTGCTGGATGAAGGGAGTACTTGAAATCGGTAAGTCATGCCCAGGAGTCGAATTCAGTTTATCGCGCAGTGCGCATATCAGTGGTCTGCCAATGTTATGATTATATGCTCATGTAACGTCTAAGCTAGTGGAGCAAATAATACGGAATAAATTAAAGATATTTTTTTTTAAATAACTCAAATGAGGTGGTGGAAATAAGACAGCATCCACCAGAGGGTGGAGATGAATGATCCCCCCCCCCCCCCGCATTGTTAATGTTGACTGATCTCCCATCATGAAGTGTGGAAGAGTAGGCCAAATACTCTATAGAGAGGCGATGGGCTCTCGAGAGCTCCGCCGAGTGGAAGCGCTTCCACAAGCAGTGGGCCGTGAGCAAGAAATTACGGGGCTGCATCTTAATTTTTACCGATCCCATCATACGCCGAGATTAACACTTCGTTTCTCACCAAGGGACCGTCTGGAGAGGGCGGCCCCAAGGGAGCTCTTGGTGAAGTTGGCGGCATGGTAAGTACCACGTGGGCACGTGCCCATGCCTTCCCCCCGTAACGCCTTCGCGTCGCATCGCACGTTTCAGAAGTTTCGCCGGATTTAATGAGATGTCGTTGTCTGCAGACGCTCAAAAAGACTGTAGATTCTGATGCAAGAATCCTGCAGCAATTGGGGTAGTTGTTGCGGTGCTGACGTAGCATTGGGTGGCACTGCCTCATTGCCCACCTTTGTGTGCCTACACTGATGCCACCGCCTGACCTGTGTTCTGCAATACAGGGCATGACTGGATTCCCAGGAGCGCCTGGTGAATCTGGCACCGGTGGTCCTCCGGTAAGTCCTCCACCCCATCTTCTACACCCCCACTTAGCTCCAGCATACTTACCCCGGCCCCCCCTTACGACACAAAGGAGGTGAAATTACTTTTAAATTGGAATTCGTTGAACAGTTAATGTGCGTACATAAATCGCGTGTCTGGTAAGTGGCACGAGATTAGTCTCAGCCAAAGGCGGCAATTGCTCGATGGGCCGGGCTCGCAATCTCTCACCCGTCGCGTTATCCCTCAGTGTCCTTATCACACCTGGGTCCATGTCGACGGCTGCTCTCTGCGAATATGATCACGCACACCACAGTTGCCGCGTGAGTGCATTTGGCTTTTACGCGGAGGGACGTTCATCCGGGCGAAAGCGGCTCTCTCTCGACGTGTCAGCGTTGATTCTCCTTCCTCTTATCGTGCTCTGCGCGCAGGGAGGCATCGGTCCTCAGGGTGCATCGGGAGCGCAGGGCAAGGACGGCAGCATGGGCCCACGCGGTGACACTGGCACACCAGGCGAGCCCGGGGAGCCCGGCCCCACCGGCCTCCTTGGCAATCAAGGAGAGCGTGGCGAGAGGGGCCCTAGCGGAACCCGGGTAAGTGAGCGCCGTGTCTGCAGCGGAGGTCCCGCTGACTTCCCTGCTACACCCCCGGGGTCATGTGACTGGGAAGCTGCCCTTACGCTCCTGGGTCATGTGACCGTCAGTCAGCTTCTGTCGCCATATGCTCCAATTCGCTGCCCTCGCTTATGGGTGTGTGGAAATATTAATAGTAAAAGCTCCTGTATATATAGCGCCTCCACAGTGAGCACAAGCACAACGAACAGAAATTCAACACATTCATCTCTCCCGCCCGAAACATCACCTATATTATATCTATTTTACTTTCACGGCAGTGACGGCCCTGCTGCTGCTGATGTGTTAAGTCCATCAGCCGCAGCCGCCATCACGGTTGAGGTTTATTTTTTATTTTTTTTGTGTTTCCACAATGAGTTATCCTAAGGTAATTTACAATGTCATAAAGTAAAAAAGAAAGTAGAACTACAACTATTAATGAGCACGATAAAATATTTAACAGAGAAATATATTTATTTAAACTGCACAATGATTAAAAGCATGAGGAATACCAATTAATGAAATATACAATTGGAAAAAACTTTCGTTTTTAAGATGTGATATTAAAACAATTAATGACTCATAGTCCCTGAGTTAACTATTGCTAAAATGACTTAAGTGATCTGACAATGAAGTAGTATTATTTATCGAAGGACAGCACAGCAGGGTATATTTATTTATTTTAACATTGCACCAAGGCAGATTATATCATTTGAGCTCTCTTCTACAAGCCAAGTTTTGGTGAAACGTGGCACAGAATCTAGCTATGGTACACAGGGATTTTTTCGGTGAGTTAGACCTGAGCTGCAGATCTCTCCCTGGGAAGTGAAAGGGGTGTTCACAATAACTTTTGTGAATCGAGTCTCAGGGATGAATACAGATTCGTTTGAAGGGCATCGCCTCTTGGAGGCAATTTAGCTCCAATATGTTTCTCTGTGCTAGCTTTTGAACTCAGAACTTCTTACTTCCAGTCGAAGCTGGATGTAAGCACACCACCTCAGATTAAGGCCACGAGTGCAGTGTGCATTTATCCTTTCATCTCGGAAGTTGCCCCTTGCCTTATTCTTCCCCCTCGCCAGTGCAATGTGAGGATGTCAGTTATATGAGACCTGTACATGCACACGGCGCCAGTATTTGTAATTATTTCGATTCATATCACCGGATACAATAGAGGTTTTCTCCGCGCAGTGTCGAATTCGGATTGTCATCGTGCGTTGGAGGCTGGACCCTCCGGGCTGCAGTTCACCGGTCCGAGCGGCGTGCGATTGTGCCGTGCGGGGACGCGTGCGTATCTATGTCGCACTTCGTTCGCAGCGTACGTAGCCACCCGTGCTAATCGGGCTGCGTGTGCTTCTCTGCCCAGGGTACCGCTGGGGCACCAGGCAGCAGTGGCTTCCTGGGTTCTCATGGTATCCAGGGTCTGTCCGGCCAGCGTGGTGAGAGGGGCGTCCCTGGACTCAACGGCCCTACGGTGGGTGAACTTTCGCGCACGACGCTGAATGCAGCGCTCCGACGCGCTGTCGGGTCGTACCGAGGTGTTGTTTGGCACGATGTCCGACGTTTTGCTCCATGTGATTCTTCGTGAACAGAGTCGAGCAGCTCACGTTGTCAACCGGGTTTATACGACGTGGCCGGCTGCTCCTGGTGTTTGATTTACACCAGGAGCAGCTGGCAATACTGTACGGCACAACCGCGAACACCTACCCACTGGTACTGACAGGCCACGTATCAGGGATGGCAGTGGAAAATGCCACTCGTGGCTTATATTGTATTTTCTAAATATATATTACCACAGACATTTTGTTCCATTTCTGTTTTTAATTCCAAAATTAGTTTGGTTCTGCGTGAAAAGAAGTTTGACACTGGATGCAAATTCACTTGTCACTGCACATTCTCACTCTTATGCTTTCACTCAAACGAGCGATCAGCTTTGTTGAGGCCAAGAGCCCTCACGATACCAGGCCCCATGCCCTTGGAGAGCTCTCACACCAGACACACGCATTCATTTCGTGTAAAACAACCTGGGCTTATTTTCAGCCGGGTCTGTCCGAAGTGTCAGAGACACGGAACATTGTTCTATAGCCGTCACACCACGTCCAGTATACCACTTGCTGTGGCCATTCGTCATATGCTCACTCTAGTCTTCCGGCGACGTAGAAAATATTCAGTGAGAAATTAAGCCCTGGGTACAACCAATCCAACGAGGGCTTTGGCAGAAAAAAAAACCGGATGGCTTTCAATCTCCATCACCATTTTGATAGGATCAACATAGGAAGATTGATTCATTAATATCAGACAGCAAGCTATATTTGGCAATGGAATTTCCAGCCTGCAGTTGTGATGCATGCGAGGGGCATCGGCAGCCGCCGTGGGCGACACACGTATTTTGACGCGTTGATTCCCACGTGCATTCTCCATCACTTTACGCGACTCTCAGTTCAGGATATTTACCTGGACGCTAAATCGGTTACTAAGTGCAGGCAGGCCGAAAAGCTGTGAAGGTTCTTAAAGGGGGGGAAAAAAAAAGAACTTGTATCTTTTGCGTCAGCCACTCGGGCGGTCATTGGTTTACTCTCGGGTTTCGGAACGTCCATTAGTCGAGCATCGCCAACGTCAGACGACGCCGACAATGGCTCCACAAAAAACATCCTCCCCAAAGCGCATCCCGAGAGGGGGAGAGAAAGGATAAAAGAGACGAGACGCACAAATCCCACGAACTAAGGTGCACGACAAAAGGCCACATCATCTCGTCCTCCCCGTACGGCCGTCCGGGCCGGTTAGTGACGATGACCTGCGTGGCATCTTCCCCTATTGTTGTTGCGGTGCGGTGCTGTTCGTTGCTCGGATTGAGCCACGGCTCAGCGTGAGGTTGGAGTTGGTGGCGGCCGGGGTGGGGGGAGGTGGTGTGTGTGGCGTGGCTCCATGTGGTGCACGGTCTCTCTCTCTCTCTCTTGCAGGGCTCTCTCGGCAAAAGCGGTCCCACGGGTGAACAAGGCGAACGTGGAGCTCCGGGTAACGTGGGCTCCCCGGGTCTCAATGGCGCTCCCGGCGAGTCCGGCCGTGAGGTGAGCTCCTCCACCCCCGCACCATTCACCACCCCACCCAACCACCCCGTTCGCGCCTTTCTATTTTATTTATTCGTTTATTTTACGCGGCGCCGTCTTCAAAGAAGCCAAGCGACTCAGAAAGGGGAGGGAAGTCGTCGGTGGGTCGTCAAGTTACGGCTTCGCGGGACGGAACGCCGCGCGAGATTGTTTTGTTTTTGTACGGTTCACGCGATGGCCGTCAACGTGAGAACTCTTCCGCGCCGTGGATTATGGATGATTTGGAATTAATCTCTCACCCCCACCCCCCCACCACCACCACCGCCACTTGATTGAGAATTTCTGCGGAGATTTTTTTTTACTTTTCCCATGTTTTTCATGGAGAGGCAGCGCCCTCTGCTGTCGAAACCACAACTCTTCCGTGCGCGTCGTTTTGAACGAGACTTTGTTGCGCATTCGACTATTTCGTGATAATTGCCACGGTGGCCAGCGGTGCGAAAGCACGTTGCTTAACGTGTTCAGTTTAATTTTTTTTGTCAATTGCGCATTGTTTTCACATGCGCATGTGTGATGTCGATGCACCTACACGCACGCGCTCGCTAACATCACTTGCCCCAAGAGTCCGTTAAAGGTTACAATGCATTGGGATTGTTGTCTTTTTAATGTGGTTGTAAACAGGGTTCATCTGGTACTGATGGAGCTTCCGGGCGCGATGGCCTTGCTGGCGTGCGGGTGAGGCCACCACTGCACACCACCGACATCCTCGTGCATCGAGCGCTGCAATGTTGCCACCTTTGCCCCTGTGTGCCCACTTTCCGCACATGTTCCCCAAACACCGGTCCACTCGAGCAATAATTGTCGTTGAGTATACACATCGCGCGTGATGCAAAGGTATGCCCACTTGGCTCGGGGTCCATTTTAACCGGGTCTGTCTTGAGTCAGCCACCCAGAAAATATATGTCCACACCCAGGACACATCTCACTGTGACTGTGGCTACTAGTCACGTGCCTACTCTGTGAGAAATGAAACCCTGAACAAGGCCAAGGGAGATCTGCATCAATTGCTGGCACGTTATCTCTCAATAACAGCGAGGAGTGATGGTGTCTCGGCATTTCCAATAGAGCGCCACATTTTAAGGGGCCTGCTACAAGAGACACCGATTCACTAGCAAGCTCGGTTTCCCTTTGCGGGAGAGTCCTCCCCACCGTCGCGAGTCTCATCGCCGCTTGCTGCGCGCAGGGAGACCGCGGTGAACCTGGGACGCCCGGCCGCCCAGGCAATCCAGGCAACATGGGCAACCCTGGCCTTTCAGGAGCCAACGGCAAGGACGGGCACAGGGGCGAAACGGTGAGTCCAGCGCGTCCGCACGCGAGCGAGCGGTGCGGCCGCTACACCACCTCACGCTCTCTCTCCGCCGTTCTACTCCCTGCTGAGGATTCGCGACCTCGATGATGAAACTGCTCCACTCTCCGTGATGTTGGGCTTTGCTGCTGCATTGCTATAAAGGGCTCACAGTTCAATGTGCAATACTACGTGTGCATCTTTGTCTCCGTTCCTTTTGTCTTCTACTTTACCGAACGTCACCAGTTTCTGAAGGTTATTACCCCTCACACTAAGCCATGTGGTGCAAAATACTTTCGTTTTTTTCATTTTGCTATTGTGGTGTACAGTCGCGCTTTTAAATCACTCTCACAAACTTTACGAGACATCCACATATTACAGTTTTGCTACGTATGGCCGTCACACGGTGGCGTGTGGCCTCATAACTGAATGTGCGCACGTGTGTATTTAATATTGGTGAAAACGTCAAAAAAATTAGATTTTTAAAAATAACTTTTGTCAGAGTAATACGATGGTGTTGTTTATCAGCACGGCTTGGGTCCCAAAATGTCACGCACAACGAGGCCCCTAGACACCTTGATCCACGCGTTGCTTCTTGAATGCAGCAGCTCACGTGGACGGCAATGGTGGATAGTTGGGTAGCAGGTTGGCGCAGCGGTCAAATTTGTGACTCGCAGCAAGAAGCGCCTGGGTTCGATTCTGGACTTGGGCGCCTTTCTCCGTGGAGTTTGTGATTTGGGCGCCTGTGGAGTTTGTGTGTTGGGCGCCTGTGAAGTTTGTGTTTTGGGCGCCTGTGGAGTTTGTGATTTGGGCGCCTGTGGAGTTTTGTGTTCTCCCCAGTTGTGCATGGGTCTCCTCTGGGTTCTCTGATTTCACCGCCGTAGCTAAAAAACAAGACCAACATAATTGGTTTTAGGCAAACATCCTAATGCTGAAAACTTACCTGCCAATTACTGAATTTTGATTCCACATTCCAGCATAAACCCCCTACTGTGGAATAATTATCAGGACCCTTCTGAGAGAATATTGAGACTCAATGAGGCTTTCCTGAGTAAACAAATGTAGTAATAATGTCATCAACGTGACTGTGAAAAATGTGTGGATGCAATTGTGATTCAAGGAAAAAATACTGGCCTTTGTGCGGCACAATCGTGCTTCTGTTCAAAAACAGTGACACATTCTTAGATTTAAAACCGTGAAAACAACATACTATTATTAAGCCATTATCTACACAAGGAATTGATTTTACTTTCAACTTCTTAAAAACGATTCTGCACATCAACATATCAGTAGTGACAGGCGACTGCATGGAACATTTCATCCGGTCAAGGTTATCCGTTCAACCAGGTGAGAATTCAAGACACAAGGGACAGTCCCATTTGCAAGAGTGACCTGGGGCCACCAAAACCTCTCCACTGCTGGTGGCTGTGACCATCGCTGAGTGCTGTGTGCGTCACGGGTCAGGAGGTGCCTGCCGGGAGGACGCGGCGCCTCGCGGGAGAGAGAGCGCGTGCGTTGGGAGCGATTCCTCAGCGTGCCTTCCCGTGCGCCCACTGCCCTGCTTCTACAACTGTGGGTGCGACGCTTCTGTCTTGCAGGGCCCTCAAGGAGATTCAGGCATCGTGGGCAGACCTGGCTCCGCAGGGCCGCTTGTAAGTGCCGTGTGTTGTTTAGCAGAGGGCACACAATACAAAAGAATGTTAATTATTACTATGACAGTATTCAAAGTCTATTTTGAAAGTTTTAACATTTTCAGTTTTTACGAGCGATTGTGTAATATTAACATCTCGTGTTTTTCCAAGTGTAATTGCATACATGTGTTTGACACAGGCATGCGTGTGTGTGCGTACGTGTGTGAGACATTGATGTCTCTCATTTATGATGGTTGTTCCTGGTTGACGCAGGCGTGCATGTGTATGTGTGTGTCGTTGACAGGGCCCTCAGGGGCCAAACGGAGCCCATGGCGAGAGGGGCGACTCAGGCGAGAGGGGAATTAAGGGCCACCGTGGCTGGAGCGGTTTCCAGGGTCTGCCTGGCCTGCCGGTGTGTGTGATGCCTGGAGGCGGTGCTACACAGCTTGCACCGCACCGTTTGCTGTGGAGAGTTGAAAAGTGTATATTTATTAGCGCCAGCCCAAAAGATATATAATTTCTTGATATAGCGTAGCTCCGTACAGCTTTTTTAATCTTCCTTTGCAGTAATTTGTTACATTACGGCTATATAATCTCTGACAATGCAGGCAAGATTTAATGGAATGTTGGCTAAGTTTAGAGTTCAGATTTAAGTCATGTCCAAATAAGGATTTGATGCGAATGGCTCGACACACCATGCATGCACAAGCACCGTGTGTGTACGGTAACGGAGAGAGAACTGACGATGTCTTTTGGCTACATTTAGGGTCCTCACGGTCACCAAGGAGGCCCTGGTATCAATGGCGGCAGTGGTCCAAGGGTGAGTAATGTCATCATTTTCCTCATTTTCCCAGTCCGGCAGAGTGGTCATCAGGCATTTTATAAACATTGCACATATGCTTATGTGAAAGGGTCTGAGAACTGAGAAAAAGTCTGATATAGTCAGTGTTAAAAGCAGGGCTTTTGTGAAACAAAAAAGTTATTTACGTAAAAAAAGTATCCCTTGTAAGTATACTGTAAACTGTCGATATCGTAGTCATATAACCTTTGCTTTTTCTTCAGAAGCTTCTGGTTTGCTGATTTTCTTTCAAAACTGAACGTTATTAACATACATATAATATGTGAAATGTATATTCAGCTGAATAAAACTGTCTTCTTTTTCCCTCCCGTCAATGTCAGAGTGAGAATGGAGCCAAATGCACTCCCTCCAACTATGTCCCTTAACAGCTTCTAAAGCTTTCGTTGTCCAAAAAAAAAAAATCGACATTTTAATTTAAGTCCAATGAACCATCGTTGGTGATCACTAATTTCCAGGGCTTAATTTCAACCGAGTCTATCCGGGTAAATGACCGGCAAAATATTTCCATGCCCGTCACACCACGTCCAGTATACCTCTTGCTTGGGCTGTGGCTACCGGGGGCGTGCCACCTCCCGGCCTACCCCGGTCCCCACCAGTGACCCTGAACAATACTGAGTGACGAGCGAAGCCTCGCACATTCCCACTGCTGCACGGAGTGACCGTACGCTCTGTGTTGCGTGCCCGCGTGTGCTCAGGGACCCACGGGCCCAGCGGGCGGGCGTGGCAAGGATGGGCACAATGGACAGGCTGGCCCCCTCGGGCCCTCTGGCCACCGCGGTCGTCCAGGGGAGGCTGGCAGTGCTGTGAGTAAATTTCCAGGAGTGCAATCGCGAGTATATGTGTCGACGACTAGCCCCCGTTCCTTTTGTTCGTGACATTATAGTGGCGTAAAATGTTCGTCAAAGACCTGAGCGTGACTCTAATGAGATGTTATTAATGAGTCTCATGAAATACGCAGACTAAGACAATTTAGTAGCAGTAGACGGCAGTGCACTGACAAAGATCAACATTAAAATTGGCTATGTATGTATATGTAAGTTTACTCACCTGATATTGGGCTTGATGAAACGGGTGCCCCTCCCGCACTGATATTTCATAACTAAGTGTGAACTGAATGTTTGATGGCCTTAGATGACTAGACTAAGAGAGTTACTAAATTAATTTCACAGGCTTAAGAGGTCGTCGTCGACTAGACAAACTAATGCTGTGAATAAAATAAGAAATTGTCACTGAACGGTCACTTGAAATTCACTGCAAAGAGTCCAAGATTAAAATAAAATAAAACAATTAAATCACGACGTTTCGGAGGCAACACAAGCTTCCGTCTTCAGGTGGAATAGTCACAGCAGAAAATCTGTGACTATTCCACCTGAAGACGGAAGCTTGTGTTGCCTCCGAAACGTCGTGATTTAAATGTTTTCTTTTATTTTATTTTACCTACGTGACTTTACCGAATAAAACCAAAGAGTATGAATCCTTGCAGTCACGAAAGCTTCAAATCTAGAATCCAAGATTAGTACTAGATGTCACTCTCATTGGCAGGACCCACACAAAGCATCAGTTTATAAGGCCGCAACGCTTGCGAAAATACCTAACTTTGTCCCTTTCCATTATTCGCAGGGCCCTGCTGGTTCACCAGGTATCCCTGGGCCCCCAGGCCCTCCCGGCCCTGCAGCAAACGGCTACGGACAGTTGCCCTTGATTGGCATGGAGAAGGGACCAGACCCATACCCTTACCGGTACCGTGCTGATGAGGCGCTCAAGGAGCACGATGCTGAGGTGGATGTGACCCTCAAGAGCCTCACCAACCAGCTGGAGAACATCATGAGCCCCGAGGGCACCAAGACCGACCCGGCTCGCAGCTGTCGAGACCTCATGCTCTGCCACTCTGACTGGAAGAGCGGTGAGTGAGAGCCGAGGTTAAGGCAGTGACTTGGTTGGGATCCCCCAGACCTTTGTGCCGTGGGTCCGATTCGTGTGTTCTCTAGGCCCCCAATTCACTGTTCATGAGTATTGCAGAATATTATCACAAAGCTCTGATTAACAACTCAACCCAGGATCATCACCTTAGCACAGGGGTTTCTGAGAGGAACTGTCCTTTTATAGAAATCTATAACGAGTTGTTTTAGAGGTAAGATTGAAACCAGGAGAAACGTCTGCTGGAGATTCCCACCTCGGTATGGAGACAATTTATGGTTGTCAAAATCAGCATAAAGGTCGAGGAGATCTAGAAGTGAGTGATTCACCATCTGGAGGTCATTTGTCGCATGTCGGAGAATACTTTCAGTAGAACTGCCTTGGCAGGAACCATATTCTGCTGGGTTATGACAACCATGAACGTACAGTGGTTTGACAGATGAGAGAAGCCGACCGTTTTCGAAGAAAATTTTAGTTTTTTTTTCTATAACTAGTAGTTGAATACTTTCTGCTGCTTAATAGATGCAAAAGTTGCAGTACCATGTGCGCGTGCACGTACTGACTGCCGCACGTTGCCACAGGTGAGTACTGGATCGACCCTAATGAGGGCTCAGTGCTGGACGCCATGAAGGTCTGGTGCAACATGGAGACCGGGGAGACCTGCGTCTATCCCAAGCCCAAGAACGTTCCCAGCAAGAACTGGTGGAGCAATAAGGGCAGCCGCGAGCACAAGCATGTCTGGTTTGGAGAGGCCATGCCCGGTGGCTTCCACGTGAGTTTTCGCATCAACGCGGCACCGGTCCATTCCTGTCGATCACCGACGGCAAAGTGGAAATGGGATCGTCGTTACGAAATCTAATCGCCTTTCTCGGGTGTTTTTGGACATTCTTCGTAATTAGAATTGGGAGGTTATTACAGAATTATGTTCTTGAGGGGGTCACTGTTGATTTAAAAAAAAAATCCAGTGAGCATCAGAAAGATTATTAGAAAGGAAATCAATGCGTTCGATCTGCTACAGGTCGATGTCAGTGGCCATACCACTGAATTTCAGGTGCCCATTGTCTAAAGAGGGAGACAGCGTTTACACGCATGCCAATATCACAATGAAATGTTTTTGTTATTGTAGAAACAGAACAGCCCCGTAGGTTGAGTGCTCAAATGCATAACGTTTACACATATTACAAAGAGTCCCCATGTAGCCTACAAAGGCTGTTGGGGCAGGTGCTATTCGGGAACACTAATGAAGGTCACCACGGAACATGAAAGAAAGGTGTTGCCAGTACCACGCCTGATCACCTTTGTTTCCCCCCGGTGTTGGTGTTTACACACCGCAGCAGGTACCAATTTAAGGTTGAGTGGACCTAGCCTAGGGGAGGTCTCAAACCGGCTCGGTTATACGCCACTGATACGAGTCACGAGCGGGAATCAAACTCGAGTCACCTTGTTCGTCATGCGGCACTATAGCCACTGCGCTACTGCACCCGACACATACGTGCATACGCGCACGCACTTACGCGCGCGTACGCGAACCTCCTCGTGAAATAACCGCCTTCCCCGTCTGTGCACCCCACAGTTCAGCTACGGAGACGACACCATGTCGGCCAACATCGCCGAGGTGCAGCTCAACTTCCTGCGCCTCGTGGCCGCCGAAGCCTCCCAGAACATCACGTACCTGTGCCGTAACAGCGTGGCGTACGCGGACGCCGCGGGCAGCCTGCGCAAGGCCGTGCGGCTCATGGGCTCGGGCGAGCTCGAGCTGCGTGCAGATGGCAAGAACCGCTTCACCTACTCCATGCTGGAGGACGGCTGCGCGGTAAGAGAGCGACGCAACGCGTGCGAGGGGGGCGACGCCGTGCTTGTCCACGCTCCCCCAAAAACTTTCTAGACACGGCCTAAGGGGAGATATCACCCCCCCCAAATCATGCCATGTTTGGTGTTTGTTACCAGGTAACAAATGGCAATTATGCCGACGACGGAGCGTTTACATTTGCACGAACGTGTTGGGGGGCTCGTTACCGATTTCCGTAGCCAGAAGATTTAATATTAAAGCGCAGTAGATCGCCTCTTGTCAGGGAAAGAGAAAAAAAAACAAAGTTCGAAGCTGGACCTAGTGGTTCCCACCTGTGATCCTCGGCAAATAGCCCACTGGGAACCGTTCGCGAGTAGGACGCCCCCGACTGACTTGCCGTGCGGTGCTGTGAACACCCACAGGTGGAACCAAAGTGAAAAGGCACCAGAGATGGGTGGGGGCTTTTGTGCGGGTTGGAGTCCGGAGAGTGTTCATGTTACGAGGACTGGTTGTCCATAGTTTTTGTCGGAAGAGCAAGCTCTAGAAGGATGTATGTTGTGGGGAAATGCCAAGAGGTAGAAAAAGGTGCTACTCAACAGCCTGAAGAACAGATGCAATGTCGAGGAAGGAACAACATTAATGTGTTGAGGAAACTCAAGTGCCTTTAGGCAGATAACTCAGAGACGATTTATTTCTATACATTGTTCAATGATAACTCATTACAATATTTGCCTTCCATATTGTGGAAGTTGAATTTTAGCGAAGGACAAGTAGACAAATATCACGAGCTTTGTTCACAGACGCTATCAGCTCAGCACCTTGTGCCAAATTTGTTGTGCGGCCGGTTGCATCATCTGTCCCTGTCACGTGTCTTGTGGTCCGCTCTCTCACCTCCTGCAGAAACACACTGGCGAGTGGGGAAAGACAGTTCTGCAATACAAGACAAACAAGCCGTCTCGTCTGCCGATAGTGGATATCGCACCTCTGGACATTGGTGGACCCGAGCAAGAGTTTGGCGTCGAAATTGGCCCCGTCTGCTTCCTGTAAAACCAATGGACTTTGCAACTCCACCTCTGTTCGCCATCCACCAAACCCTTGCACTGAACGGCTAAAGATTGACCGTTTAACGTTGCTAATGGTCTTCCATCCACAGGCTTATGTTTGGATTTCATGGCAAAAAGTGTGAAAATGCCTATCTGTATTGTTCTGTGTAAATTAGAAACATTTGATGTTGTTCATATTGCTGTGGAATTACTTTTACAGGAATTCACTTTAATATTCTGATCGCAACAACAGGTGTAGTTTTTTGCCCCAAAATTTTTTTTTTACAAAAAGTGTCAATGGATTTTTTTTCTAAATGTGAGTCGAAGATTTCTGGAATTTTTTTTTAAACAAAAGGCTATTTTTTAAATGACTAAAATGGTAATTAAACACATTTTCGGACTGCATAACTGTCCTGTCTTATTTGGTTTGCAGGGAGACGGCCTTCACAAAACACACCATGTGTTGTATATGTTACATTTGGTGCTTTTCGTAGTGCTTCCAGTTGTATCTTTAAAGGTGCTACTTTACTATGGGTTTGGTTTTATTTAAGCATAAAAAAAAATCAGCAAACTTGAAGAACCCAGTAAAGCTAAAGGTGCTAGCTGCCTCATTTGACTCAAGTTACTCTGGTCATGAACAATTCACCTCTTTTTCTTGATGTGAAATATATCCAGACCAGAACTGTTTTCTTACGGAATTACTAGATCCATGCTACACCAGTATGGCCAAGCGAACAAGACCAAAAAAAAAGACTTAAAAAAGAAAGCGTCCATGTTGTTTGGAAATAAACATATTGTTTAAAAAAATATATATTGAAAATTAAGTCTTCTTTTGTTGCAGTGTTGGCCACAATTGTTTTGGGATGTCGATTCCACATTTTAAATCTGCCGCTTAACCTGGGGAAAGCCTTTAAGTTGTCCTCCTGCTTTAGTTGACCCCCTCTCGATGACCTTGCTGCCGTCTCATATAGTGGCTTTGCGTGAGTCGCTCTATGTTCTCCAAAAATAGGCATGTGGATCCCCGCTTGCTCTCTCACATAGTGGTTCCCCCTCTGTGCGTGTGTTGGTGTTCCTGTGTAATATCCAACAAGCAAAGGGATAGCCACCTGGACATGTACAATTTTTGTATATTTCATTTAGTGCCGATGCAGAAAGCTTTGATTTTTGTAAAATGCTATTTTGTATGCAGTATAGACAGGGAACTTACACATTTGGGATCGTAGAAATTCATCTCGGCATTTATTTGTGTGTGCCTAACGAACGTGTCCTTATTCGATTCATCCCATATGTTGTCCACGCCAGTAGATGCAAACTTAAAAAAATAAAGTGTTCAATTTTTTATTTGTATCAAATGTCACATGATGTGTTTTGTGGAATGTGTAGCCGTTTCCTTGGCTATTTCGTAAAAAAAAAGAGGGACAAGGAAATAAAAAAAGTTAATGAAGTGCCGAACAGCATCTGCTCGACTATGGTATGCATAGGGAATGGCTTGCCGTGAATTTCGTTCATGGCGAGTGTTGACACTACAGTACAATACTGTTTTCGTTCTCTTCTCTGTATTGAGCGCCGCAATAACGAGTTTGAAGCACAACTACCCTGTGTACCGAGCAATCTGTAAGTGACCACCATTTAGTGTTGGTTACGTGTGAATTGAAGTCAAACACTCTGCACCATAGTTGAGGGATCTGGCTGAAAGGGCCATGCTGGATCACTTTACACCTGCTCTTGGGCCCATGCCTGCACATGACAAATCCACAATCGAGGCGGTAAGCCGTGATACCCGGCTGCTTGCTGAAGAGACATCGAAAGATAAACAGGTGGGTCTGAAACGTCAACTATGATCAAATAACTAGACGACTTTCCGCGACAAGGTAAGACCCTCAATGGTCTATAACAAAAATTACCATATCACCAGGAACGTTCTTGATCTGGTCACAACTCCAAAGCCACCAACAGATCCGAACCTGGATAGTGCTTCGATGGGCGACCACCATGCTAGTACAAGTGGTGTAGGCTGCTGTTGGCATATGTTGTCGGTAGAGGGCATTGCATACAAATTATGAGTACGTACAATGATGCTTCAACGTCAATTATGCTCCCCCGCCTTTACCAACTGGCACTGAACATGAATTATGAATGGTAAAGTACACGGATGGTTAAATGTCTCCGACGGCCCACAGCGTGGGGGGGGGGGGGGGCCTCATCAAGCAGTGGATTGACAAAAGGGCTGTACGTGTAAAAGGCCTCACCGACAGCAGAGCCCCTTTTTCACGCAAGACCAGGAAGAATTCGACATTAATTTGAATACATAAACCGTGTTATTTTCAGGGGAAGATAATTAGGATTAAAAGGTAAAGTGTTGCATTTTGGAGTACTGTATTGCTTAAATGAGAAGTTGCCGAATGTGGCCGAGACTCATTTGTAAAAAAAAATAGTAAATATATCAGACAACGGCATTATCCCCACCAATATTCCACCTCGAGTTGCCCGCTCATATATCCACGTGATAAAGACCAGCAATGAGTACATGGAGTACATGGAGTGGTGTAGAATTACTCAGGTGGTGCAGCCGCCTCCGCCGCCATGTGGATGAGCCAACCTTGCTATCCTCATTCAAGGCACCTACTGCTAAATGTTATCCAGGGTGGGCCAAATGTCTTGTGACCCCAGCACTTAATTCTCAATTAAGTAATATTTTAAGTAAGGTTTATTTAAAACAGAAATGAATATTCAAAGGATACGAAAAAAATTGTTAGGGGTCAATTAATTGGGGGGTCACAAGACATCTGAACCACTCTGTTTACAACACTGCCAATATCTACATCAACAAGCTAAGGAACTGATTGAACAAAATTACCAGGTTTTTTTGTTTATCTCTGATGGGAAAATCACGACGTTTTAAACGACATAAGGCTAAACTTCTTACGTTTAATACTACAGTACATTGTAATGTAGGGTTACCCAAACTCCAGTCCTCGCGATCCACCACACTCCGCATTTACCAATGTCCTCCCCGTTCAAATACGAATTTACTCGTTCCACACTGCACGCGCCCGATGATTGTTAAACACGACCCACGTGATGCACTAAGCAATTAACGCTGTCCGCGTTGATAAGAGCCGATTCAAATTAAAATCTCAGTGTGTGCATGTGTGTGAACACGCGTTCCACGTGACGCACACATCATTAATTGTTTGTCGCGTCACGTGGGACGTGTTTAGCAATCATCGGGCGCGTGCAGTGTGGAACGAGTTAATATGTATTTGAACGGGGCAAAACATTGGTAGATGCGGAAAAGGTAGCATGAAGGGTCGCGAGGTTTGGGAAACCCTGCTGTAATCAATCAAGTCTTTATTTCTAATGCACTATTTCGTGCAAATGATGCAACTCAAAGTGCTGTACAGGTAAAAGAAAACATTATTAAAATACTAAATCGCAAGAACAATAAAAGCAATTTCCAGATATACAAAATGGCATTATAATAAATTGCTAGAAAATGCATATTTAAAAAAATAACACTATAAAATAATCTTAAGTAAAAACAAGTTCAAAAAAGTAAGTTTTTAGCTTTGACTTAAAATTGCTTAATAATATTGGTGTAATTGAACTACCACCATATTATAGACTTGAACAATTCCTGTGGCCACCTGCTGTCGATCCATTGCTATGCCCTCCCGAATATGCGTTTTGCTGAAGCGTAAATGATGACTCGGAGGCAGATCTTCGTGTAGGGGCACATGCCAGTTTTATAAAGGGCTTACGCCTGTTGTTTTATTAAAGACCTCTCTTCGCACACGACTCCATGTACTGCACACTCACTACCTACACTCCACACCCCAGGGGAAAGGTACTGGGGATTCCATAGCACACCCACAGGCTACCCTAGCCTGGTGCCAATTTCCCCCTACCCCGGGGTCCCATCGCTCCCCCAGGGGAAGGGTACTGGGGAGGTCCCTAGCACATCCATAGGCTACCCTAGCCTGGTGCCAATTTCCCCCTACCCCGGGGTCCCATCGCTCCCCCAGGGGAAGGGTACTGGGGAGGTTCCTAGCACACCCACAGGCTACCCTAGCCTGGTGCTAATTTCCCCCTACCCCAGGTCCCGACTGTGCAGTACACGTTCCCGGACTCTCCAGACGACCCTGAACCCGTGACGGGTTCCAGCTTAAATCCCCCAGGGGGACATGACGTCACCGTCCCACCCCCTGTGCATGACATCACCATCTGTGACATCATCGTACCAGAGGGCAAGCGTGACATGACGTCACTAACTCCTACTCTACATCACCCCCCCCCCCCGTGAAAAAAGTCAGCCGACCAGGCTGCAACCATTACGAGAGCAGAGCCCGGCAACCCGAATGGGAAGACAACTCCCCACACGGGACACCAGAACGTGTCCGACGAAGGCAGGGGACGAAGAAACGGCCCCACTGGCCATCACCGTATCCGCACGCCCCGCGAGCGTGTGCGTGACGCCGGCCGGCTCTTCCGTGCCGCGTCGGCATCAGAATCGGCGGTGTGCTGGCAGGTGTCCAGTCCGCCAGCCAACCCGCCAGGTGAGGCGCCGCTGGTGGAATTACTGGCGGGGCTTCTGCAGGCGCACACAAAGGCACGGCATCGCTCACGCCATCACAACTCGTGCGGCCCGGCTCGGCGGACACAACAGACACCCGGCCCCTGAGTAGTGGAGATGAGGGGATTCCGGCCGGTACGAGTAGAGGAGAAGAAAAAATAACACAAATTCAGACGTTAAATTTCGATTTAAAGCTTTCGTGACTGCAATGATTCATCTTCTTTGGTTCTTTCGGTAAAGTCACGTAGAATGAGAATAAAATAATAAATTGATAAAATAAAATAAAATAACACAATATTCTCATTCTACGTGACTTTACCGAAAGAACCAAAGAAGAAAAATTCAGACGTGTTGGATGCACAACCAATGCCGCGATGAACCCAAATACAGTAGAACCTCGGAGATGGAATTCCCCAGAACCCGAACAAATTGGTGTTGGAACAAATCGGTGTTGGAATGACCGTCTGAAACGAATCAAGTTTCATCTCCGGGGTACCACTGTACGTTCACCTTCACCCACACAACACGGGTGGCAGGGTTCCGACCCCCAGCCACCGTTCCATCCACTATATGGTGATAAAGCGAAGATGGAGGAGCCGCCTAGCGCTCACTTACTGCACAACATGCACCCTAACAATGGAGGGATACAGTCTCAACGCAACCGGACAACAACGCCCGAACACCACAAATCGCCTCGGAGTGTCTCGATCTCCAGGCTGGCAGGGCGAGCCAACAGCTCCAGACGCACCACGGAGGTCTCAACCTCCGGGCCACCAGGTCAAGCCGTCAGCCATAGCATGACGGGAGCACACTCTCCGAGCCATGTGAGCGCCCAGCCCACTAGGCTATCCACACCACGGATGGTCTCAACCTCCGGGCGGCCAGGTCAAGCCGTCAGCCGTAGCATGATGGGACCACAACTGACATGTTAGGCACGCAACACCCCCTGGACCCTCCTGGTCAGGATCTGCACCCCAAGAAATTTGACAGCCAGCACCACAATTCCAAACACTGGCAGCATGTCACCATCTCAATTTAAATGCTCCGTACCAATGACGGCAGAGCCACAAACCAAGGCAATCATCCCCCGCACAATCGCAATCGCACACCCTCACAACACATACAATTTGAACCTTGCATTTCAAAATCCCCCTCAACATTTACCATGGAACTCAGGCATTCCAATTTGAGGAGCAAAAAAATGTAATACACAAAACGCTCAATTATCGCCGAATGGGGTAATACAGTATATGCAGTCCATGCAGTCTGCATACAGCCAACCATCTCGAGCAATGCTCCATACAGTCTGTACACTGTTAACAATCACAGCACAGCTATACATTAACAATGATGAACAGAGTTTTCCCCAGTCGCACGTTGACAATACTCACAAGCGAAGCTCCATACTGTATACCCAAAACAATCGCGACTCCGCAACGACAACCAACAAAGTGTCAACAAATCATTAACCCGGCAATCCACTGGATCTTAACGAAGCCCGAGACCCCCCCACCTAGCCGAATAAATCATTAACTGGCTCCTTAAGATAACAATCCCGACGCGGTAATGAACCAATAATGTGACACGCGGACACCCGACACGAACGCCACGGACAGACGCAAGTTATTAAGAGCAATTGGACGCCCCGCATCCTGGCGGGAAACCAATAAAAAAACAACATTAACTCACAACCCGGCGCACGCAAGATGGATGAGGCGTCAACAGGAGCCGGTGTGTGTCGCGTCACACCTCGCCTGACAAGCTGTGACGAGCGGAGGACAGCAGGGTGGAGCGCTGGGATGCCCCAAAGAATCTTGCACGCCGACCACGGACTCCTCTTGCGACTGCAGCCGCCACCCGCGCTCGAGCAGAAGTC